AACGTAGAGCAGAACAGCATTTCTTTACGTTACGGGAACGCGAAGAAAGTTCGCGTGATTCTTTGCGTCGCGTTCCCAAAACGTAGAGCAGAACCTCCCTACTGTAAAGACATGTTATTATAACGAGTCGCAAATTTAACAATTGTCCAGAATTCGTAGGCTAACGAGAAGATGTTTTAAACCGATCTTGCAGTATTCCGGCATATCCACACACAACAAATATGAAGCAGTACGGCGTCAACGGATCTTATTCTAACGAAATAATAGGGAGGTTTCGCTCTACGGAATTACGTATGAAAATAACGTAGGAACTGCACGGAATTTTCATACGTCAAAATCAGAGCAGCTGGGTTTCGCTCTACGTGATTTATCCACGACTGCTAAACATGCGTTGTTGCTTTGGAGACGCGTTGGCTGCATGCGCCCACCGCATGCACCATGAACCGAAACCGCGGTTTCCATCTTATTTTGCACGTGGTGTACGGTGTGTGTACCTTGTGTTTCGCGCGGCTTGAACGTTGCCATGGACAAATGCGGAAAATGCGAAAAAATATTTCAAAAAGTCCTACGGAGGAGCTTTCCTACGGAAATCCGTAGAGAGATATACATATGAAAGCTGCTCTCGCTCCCCAGCGCGTACGACATACGGATTTTCATACGTAATTACGTAGAGCGAAACCTCCCTAATGTCATCCATTAAAACGTTAGATTTACTTCCTCGTTAAAATACATGTATATACATGTCTTACAGTATTTACGCACGGCCCCTTGGTTGTTTTTCAAAACCAAAGGTTTTCATTTGCAGGGTGCCGGGTGGGTGGGCTTCGTTTCGAAAATAATTCTTGACTGCCCATGGAGAAAGCCCAGGTCCTACCAAGTGCCGAATATTGAAATCAATATGTATTTTTGTTGTAATTTGTTTTACCAGCAGCTTGCTGAAAACTAAAAAAATCGTTTCGGAAAAAAAAGAAAAGAAAAACAATAATAATAATGGACTCAGATGGAGACTGGTGGTGTTTTAGTGGACAGTATAGCGTAACTTGTAGTTCCTTTCACTTTGTATAAAATAATTATAATAATAATAATGTAGAAGAGAAAAGGACATAATGGATACGAGGTAAGAGTAACTCTCCATCACTGTAACATGATACTATATACAGTCAGAAAGTGCAATAACTAGGCACAAAACTGACAGAGTACTGAAACATTCGACGTCCTGACACCTAGCTTCAACACATCTCCGTATAGTATCATGTTACAGTGATGGAGAGTTACTCTTAACTCGTATCCATATGTCCTTTTCTCTTCTACATTTATTTATGGCTCAACATCCGAGTTTCAAATAATAATAATAATAATATCTTTATTAGGATGACCCAGAGGCTTGTCGCCTATCAAGGGGTTCACAATCGGTGACCCTACATGTGCACACAGCATAGTACACACAATGCCATTCGGATCTTCCCAAGTTGTACATTGTACTGTTGAGATACCGAATTCAAATAAATCAATCCCATACCATACCCGCATGTGCACACAGCATAGTATAAAGTGCAGGTGACATACATTCTTGTCAATGTTACCAGCACAGGACTCAGTTTCAACTTCGTTGTCAGCAGTGTACTAGTGTGCTGCTCCGACACTGTTGCCCGACGTCACGCACTGCCGATCACTCAGTCTGTCCCTGGGGAAAGCCGCGGAGGAAAAGCTCGAAATTCGCGACACCATTTGCAGTCAATATTCAACACGGACACAATTTGCGGGGAATTTTGGACGTTTTTTTGGTTATCTTGCAAGTGGATTGGTTGGTTTACCGGTCTGCCTGCCAGAAACTACTCGATCATGTGATGCAAGCACAGTCGATCGGGATGTTTCATGCAACAAAACTTCAAAATCGCGGAGAATGTGCGGAAATTGCGGATTTTATAAGAAATTGTCAAAATCGCGGAAAAAATTGTATCCGTGTGATGGCGATTTCCCCCAGGGACAGCTCAGTGTTCGGATTTCGTTGATTTTGTACGTGAAGTGCACGGGACTCCTGCCGGAGCTGACCCGCCAAAACGGCAAGAGTGTCCGCCAGTCTAGGGGGTTATCGGCGTGGTCTCACTGATTAGGCACAGGCAATGCAGTATGGCTGTGTTTACATGAAGCGTTTCAACCCGGGTTGAGTTCGACCCGGGGGTCAGATTTCAACCCGCCATGTGCACAAAGTGAATGGCGCGTTTACATGACGCATTGCGCTTGACCCGGGTTGAAATTTCGCCCCGGGTTGATTTCAACCCTCCCCCCAAGGGGAGGGTTGAAATCAACCCGGGTCAAGAAAATCGTACAAACCTACTTCTGTGCGTATCTCGTGCCAGGTTTGAACGGCACTGCAGATGCACATTTCGCGCGAACAGATTCACGTGACCATACAGAACTGTAGAAGTGGACTTTTGGCGGCATATCAGTATTTGACCCGGGACGGGGTCAACTGTCTTCATGTAAACGCTCACCTCTTTTGTCTATCGTACAGACTTTCAACCCGGGCTGAACTCGACCCGGGTTGAAATTTCTCATGTAAACACAGCCTATGTCACAGTGAACGAAGAACCAGATCTGCATAATGCCAAGAGTACGGTTTATCGGTACTCTTGATAATGCTTATGATTCAACACCAAGTTATGCCACCCCTCCACTCTGTGCTGCCATGCGCAGGCGTCATCTGGTCATTGTGGAGAAAGTATCAGAGTGACTACAAAGTCTTGACAAGAGCATAATCGCCATTTATTGTACAACGTAGTTTATGTCCTTTTACCTGTTATTGTATGTATACGGTGACTTGCCATGGCATATAATCATGTGTGTATGCGAATGTTCTTGAAACGGTATGGACGTTGCACTATCGAACAGTTTTTTAAAAACTGTGCATCTACAATACTTACACAGCTGACATTACCTCAAAAAGCAGTGCAGTATGGCATGTGCACGCAGATGTTCATTGTGCTCTTGCTCCCAGACCCAGATACACCATCATCGATCCTCCATTGCTCCAACTCATCAGCAAGAATACTAGTATAATTATATGTCCACAATCAGACTTCTGCAAAGAAAACGATACGATTACATCAACAAAAAAATAAAAAAGTCAGCGAGTTCATTCACCAACACCTCCGACGGGATTCGAACCCGCAACCCCCGGCTTAGGAGGCCGATGCCATATCCATTAGGCTACGGAGGCTTACGATACCGATCGTATCGGAAAGTAATACTTCAACGACTTCAAGGATGGACCGACGCGACATGACCAGTGGCCATGGTGGCAGTGCTAGTGCAAGGCTGGTGGTACGTAGATCTACGGTGACCATACGGTTACATGACCGATTGTACACAACCTACGACTCGTAGATCTACAATATGACTCATTTTTTTTTAGATCACTGAGCCTCTTGTACGGGCAAAATAACACATTTTGTGAAGAATCAACACATAAAACGAATCATCAGTATTTACAGAGTCTGTCACTCAGTAGGATCACTGCACTGTGCAGGTTCACTGGATGCGTGCCTCCGCCGCCACTACTACAGTACTAGCACAGCAGGGGACTCAGGCATGGCAGGAGCAAACATGCTCCTTGGCTTGAGCCACGCAGGCACATAGTACCACAACGCACCATGCAGGGCAAACCCAAGGCGGCAGCGCAGCAAGGAGATAACCTGCCCGTATGGCTCCTTACTCTTCTCAGCCAGGAGAGAGGCAATCCGCGACTCATTGACTGTACATGTATACAGCCAATCGATCTCATGCTCACACGGTTACACATATCCCGTCATCCGCGTTACCACCGGCTGTAGACTGTAGACTAGCATAGTGATTACAAGTAGTCATGTAGCATGGTACATGGTAGATCCCGGCCGATCTCTACACGCACTTTTTTGACTACGACAGTGACGAGTTCGAGTACGAGTACGATCGGTACGAGTACACTTATCTTGTGAGTTCGTCTTTACTTTTACGATTGAATTTTTTGCATTCGGATGCCTGCGATCCGTGAGCTAGCGCTAGCTGCGTCGTGTGCGACATGAGCTACCCGGAGTAGAGCTCCGACTTAGCGCTATAGCGGCGATCACCTGAACCGACGTCTTGATCTTTGACACGTAAAACTTGTCATGATATTCATGATCTGACTTGCCGTCACGTCATGCACAGGTAATTGCATAAGTCGTTGCGTAACGGCGCGCCTCTGCTTCAAGTAATTAGTTCAGCTAGCTGGTCTCCAAGCTAAAAAATAAAAATAAACTACTTGCGCGCTTTGTAGCGCTAGCTTCACCACGTAGATCTACGAACCGTCCGTAGCTTACAAATTGTAGACCAACGACTTTACGTTCTGCCATCTGCCCGCTGGGCGCGCTCCGTTTGTAGTGCACTCGCGATCGCGCGCACGAGCGACAAAATCACCGCATGTGTGGCGATCGCGCGCACGAGCGACAAAATCACCGCATGTGTGGCGCATGCACTGTCATGTCATGTGATCAAGAAAGTCTGCTCACTCTGCTGTCGACATGGCATTATGCATGCATGATGTACATGTACATGCAGCATGCACGATCGTAGCAGGAAGTCTGTCCGGGTGAAAAGATTTTCAATACAGTATATTTTTATAGTACCATTGTTCAAGTGAAACAAAGTTAGTTTATTCGACACTTGCCTTCAGTTCATTGCTTTGCTGTGTCCACGGACTGTGTCTCCCATAACTCCTTCTTCGAGCTAGTTATGGCTAGTTAGTGTCTGCTGCTGGCTGGTGTGGAATCAGAGTGACCTGCTTCCCTGCAGAGGCTTTGTTTACCCACACTGTCCTAATCTCGGTGGGGATGACGATTTTGAAAGAATTTACTGCTGAGGATGTCACTGATAGAGTGTCACATGGTGATTGCTGGGTGATTGTGGACGGAATAATTTACGATGTGTCGGATTTTTCCGAGCGTCATCCTGGCGGCATGGAGGTACTCTTAGCACAGGCTGGTCGCGATGTCTCAGAGTTGATGCGCTCCGATGCTTTCCATGAACACAGCACTGCTGCTTTCTCCCTTCTGAAAGACATGAGAGTCGGAATTCTCAGGGCGAAAGATCAGGTAATTCCTCTCTTTCCAACCGATGTTGAGTTGCTGTACACGTCTTTAGGGTTGTGTCTTCGACTAAGGGACGAAAGTAATCTATTTCGAACAGTTTGTGCAATTGAATGAATTCTGGTGTGTTCCATTGATTCAAAATTTCAAATACTAGCTAATGATATCCATGTACTAATACTAGTAATGTAGACACGCAAGTTTGCCAAGGTAGCTGCTAGTACTCCAAGAACATGGAGTGGTTATGTGATCCACGGAACGTAGAGAAAACTGTGTGTACACACAGGGAGTCATGGTTTATGCGATTTACTGATGGACAGAGAAAATCAAATGTTGCAATAATTGTAGCATTGAGCAGCAATTGCCTGTGCGATTATCTTGTCATACTAGAGCGTCGCTGGTGCAATCCTGAGTGGGTAAACTGAGACACTGGTGTGTGGCATCGGTTTTTTGTAGCAGTTGTGCAGTGAGATTTCGGAGTTTAATAGATCCATGCTGTGCATGTCCAGTGCATAGTTACAGCAGGCACACATCCAGAAAAAGGTTCACTTGGTGCAACCCCAAGCTGTGTGCATAACCCTTGACTTCTTTAGATCTTGCTTTCGGAATCCCACTGCTGAGCAATGTTCTATGCATGTTCCGGACAATCTTCCGGACTTCACTGAGCAGGAAGTAGCCGAGCAGGAATGTGCATCATTATAATTGCCAATCTGTGGACATTTTCTCACTGAAAATTCAGAAGAACGCTTCATGCTGATTTAGCAAAAGCAAGATGGTTCTCAGAACTTCTCTTTCTGTCCCTAGTTTTGCTCTGAGGTTGGACCGATTTCCATGTGCATGGTGACAGAAAAGTGTGTGCTGCTCATGTAGTGGACAAGACGACTGTAGATATCAGGGAAAACGCAACATGTGTTTTGTTCGTCCGAAACCGGTGGCCACATCTGGCACACAAACCAATAGATTCCGGGAGATAATCGATGGCAGGTACTAGGTACCACTAGGGAGCTGTCAAGAGACTCAGTTTCTCCTTTGCTGTGCTTTGTAGTGTGTGGACATGTGTGGACATGTGTACTGCATCGTGTATGTTTTGTACTGGTTATGGGCAAGGGGCAGGAGTGAAACGTGACAGCTTTACTTTGGATTTCAGCATGCCTAATGTCTTGCCTGTTGGATTTGGGGTATCACGTGTTACTCATATGCCTCAGCTCTGGGTCATGTGAAGGCAATGCTGTGCCTGTGACAGGACTTTACAGATATCACATGCTGCTCATATGCCCTGGTCTTGTGAAAGTAACACTTGTAGTTGATTCAGCACCACCCTTGCCTCTTGCATTCCTCCCTTGAGAGGCCTGTGTGTCACTGACTGTGGCCCGACAGCATGTTGTCCCCTCCCCCAAATGACCTACCATCCCATGGCCCAGCTCAGTACCTTGGCTGGGCTGCAGTGCTTAAGTGGTCCTTTGTGGTATGCAGCAGGGTCTCCTATTATCAGTGGCATTCAGATGGATTGCACCACTGCCCAGGGGCACTCAATCTCAAGTGGTCCCACATGTGGCAATACATGTACAATAGTCCTAGGCCAAGGTATTGAGAAGAGATGCAGGTAAAGAGTGGACATGCAGCTTTGCTACTGGAGGCTCAGGCCACTGCTACTGCTAGTACTGAGTAGTACTAGTAGTAGTAGTTGGTGATCCTCAGCTTGGAGCCAGTGTATGGGTATAGTGCAATAGCACCCAAAGTGGCATGCAGTTGTTTATGAGGTGTTTTTCTGACCGCCCACATTCGTACTCTAGGCCTGCTCCATCTGAATGCTACTATTGTATTGCGTATTGGGGGGGGGGGCACATAATAGATGGTCCGCCCTGTCAGCCGAAAAATCCGATCCCCCCCCCCCCGGCCGTCCCACTCCCGCTGCCCTGTTACACCCCTGGGCCACAACAGTACCTGTGTGTGTGTGTGTGTGTGTGTGTGTGTGTGTGTGTGTGTGTGTGTGTGTGTGTGTGTGTGTGTGTGTGTGTGTGTGTTATTCACTTCTTGTATTTCATGTGCTGGCTCACTCTATGCCGTTAAATGATATTTGAAATTATGAACGGCCCTACGTGTGCTAATGATGACACCTTGAATATGATGACTAATTTCTGTTGCCAAGTTTTGTATCAAGTCATTTGTGAAGGTCTTGATTTAGTGACATGGAGTGTGGTGACATTCTTGACCTGCCGAAGGAATGTTGCTGTATCCCATCTTCACTGTCCCCATCATCAAGTGACCATGTGTCTCGATTTTCATAGGTTTTGAGGGAAAGTCAGCAATGGGAAAAGTCTGAAGAAGAATTCCAGCACTCAAATCATGTGTCTCAATTTCTTTCTACAGAGTTGTCCGTCAACAACATCGTCGTCGTCGTCAGTGGCTGCAACGACATCAACAAGCACCGCCGAAATGGACACGCGTGCAAACGGCAATGGCTCGAGGCATTCTAACGGCGTGGGCCACCTAAGCAATGGCAATGGCCACGTACTGCACCGCCACCATGCCGCCACCAACGGCAATAGCACTTCCTTGTCTTCGCCGCGAGCCAACGGATCCTCTCAGTCGCTGAACGTGAAAGATTTCTCCATGCAAGGCTGGAGAGATGAGGTCAGTCATTGTGTGGTGTCTTTTCATGTCTCAAGGCGAACTGTGTGCATTTTGGGAGGTCACTAGAATGGAAGGATGCACACCGCTCGCGTACTGTCTTAAGTCATTTCCTCTCTGACCTTGATTGAGTGGTTGTACATGGGCGTAAAGCGACCTCCTCTTCTTTTTTTTCTCCCTCTCTCTCTCTCTCTCTCTCTCTCTCTATCTATCTGTGTCTGTCTGTCTGTCTATCCATCTGTCTGCCTGTCTGTCTGCCTGTCTGCCTGTCTGTCTGTAACAGGATTTAGTGGACTGGTCTAAGCCAATGCTGTCGCAAGTTGGCCAGCTCGGTTCTCTGTATCACACGTGGGTACACGCTCCCGTTGATAAGCCGCTGCGCCTGTTCCACTCGGACTTTGTGGAGTTCTTCTCGCGCACGCCCTGGTACGTCATTCCCCTGATCTGGCTGCCAGTGGTTGCCTTTCTGAGTGTGCTCTGCACGTCACCGCTGTCCCTGCCTGGCAGCTGGCTGCTAGTGGGCGATGCAGCGCCGGTCAGCGCCACCTCGTTCTCCGTTCTGTTTGTACTGGGAGCGGTGCTGTGGACACTGGTGGAGTACATGCTGCACAGATTTGTGTTTCACTTGACGCCGCCGGACGACTGGCCGTCCATCATCACTGCCCATTTCCTCTTGCATGGACAGCACCATAAGGTAAGCCAAGTAGACGTCAAGCTAACATGCAGCGCACTACTTGAAAACAACTCTAACTCTGTGAATCCAGCTGTGTGCATGCAGCCATTACTTACGGTTCTGGCAAGTGGAATCCGACTTCTCTGGGCTGCATGTCCGTAGCACTACAAGTGCAAACACTGCACCTTGCACTTACGTTGCTCTGCTTATTTAATGTTAAGAAGCCGGATTTCACTTGTCATCACTGTGTACTTGGTTTACTGCTTGTTCCTGCCTGATGGTTGAACTTGTGAACAAGATCGACATTGTTTGAATTTGGTGTGAACTTTGTCTTTGCTATTTTCGTTCTGTCTTTTCTCTCACCTTTCTTCTCTCTCACGTCTTCTGTAGAACTGCTTTCCAGTTTGTCTCTCTCTTCTCTCTGCTCTTCTCTCTACTCTTCATCATAAGAACGTTTCTCTTCTCCATTTCTTCGTTCTTGTGCTTCTCTAAACTTCTCTACTCTCTTTTTCTCTTCGTTTGAATTTCCTTGAACATGCCGTGGACATGTGTTTTTTTTGCGTTTTGAACTGTCTTGATTTTCTTTTATGTTTTTTGCCAAATGTACAGTGAACTGTGCGCTGTGTGTGTACAATGCTGCGCGGCTAGCGATGCGCTTTCTTTGGTACAGGCTTTTTCTGTTGTGTCCGTGATCTATGGCTTTCGCATTCTTGCAGTTTTCACCGCTTCGCTGCAATAGTTGCTGTTTCCTTGAAGGCGAATTGCGATGCCTCCATTTTCGTAGATGGTTTTGGTGCGCGAGGAGCCGAGCGGACCTCGTGGCTTTTTTGTTTAGTTTTTCCTTTTTCAGTTTTCAGATTTGTTGTTTGTGAATACACTTTATACAGTCTTCAAGCGAGCAGTAGTTTTCGATGTGTGGTCGTGACTTGGGTTGTCCGTATTGCCCTGAACATTTGGTCCTTCGAGCCGGATCTGCGGAGGCGCATCCGGAGCCAATCGAACAGCCCTGAAGTAAAGCTTTCTGTATTCCGTAGCTCGTTGTGTTATGATCGTATAGTGTATATTTTTGAAATTTGAGTGTGCATTTCGATCGTTGCTGTTGAGATGTCGCGCAAGAGCACCAGAACCACCAGAGGGAGAGCGCCAGATCGGCTCGGTGAGTGGCTGGAGTCGACACAGACTGACGCTCAGCTTGCCTTTGACGCTGCGGTGAATTTGTCGTTGCCACCATCACCCAGTGCCAGTGTACATGATGTGCTCAGTCTGAAGTCCATTGGTGTGGACAGTATTAGCGTTACTAGTAGTCGCAGTGCGCGTGGTCGCGGTGCGCGGAGTGCGCACCTACGAGCTGAGTACGAGGCTGCAAAGAGGCTGGCTGAATTGGAGCAGCAACAGATAGAGTCGCAGAGGAGACTGCTGCAAATTGAGCTGGCGATGCAGCATGAAGCCATCGACAGCCAGCATGACAGTTCCAGTACTAGTAGTAGTGCGTACTCGGGGTCAAGGCGCTCAACGCGTGCTAGCATTAGTAGTAATAGTAGCAGTGTAAGAGGCCAGCCAGCCCAACAGTCTGTATGTGGTGGAACTCGCCAGGCAGCTGTGGCAGTGTCTGCTGGCGGTGGCCACGCAGCTACAGCTAACCAGCAACGTCAACAGCCACAGTACGCAGTCCGGCAGTATGTCAGCAGCAGTCGCCGCAGTCTGATGTTACGACGCAGTCTGGTGTTGCGCTGCAGTCAGATGTCACGCAGCCACCAGCAACGTCAACAGCCACAGTACGCAGTCCGGCAGTACGTCAGCAGCAGGCGCCGCAGTCAGATGCTACGCAGCAGCCGCAGTCTGACATCGCGCAGCTCGCTGGAGCTATCCTGGCAGCGGTAGGCACGCAGAAGCCCTCAGACACCCCAGCACAGCGCCATATGAAGGGTTATATGGCCAGGCAAGCTGCTGGGAAGGATCTGCCACAGTTTGCTGGGCAGCCTGAAGAGTGGCCCATCTTCAAGAAGATGGTCGACACCACCACCCGGGACTGTGGGTTTTCGCAAGCAGAGAACCTCAGCCGACTGCACCGTGCGCTGAAGGGCAAGGCCAGAGATGCAGTCCAGTTTATGCTGGCCGTCCCAGACAATGTTCCAGAGATTCTTGCCACTCTGCAAGAGCGTTTTGGCCGTCCCGAGCACGTGGTGCACCACCTCATCACCCGTGCTCAGAGTTTCCGCACTTTGCGAGCCGACGACTTTGAGCAGCTCGTAGAGTTCTCAACTGCTGTGCATGGGCTGGTGCAGACCATGAAGCTAATGAATAGTACTGGGCACCTGCGCATCCCTCAGCTGCGACAGGAACTTGTTGCCAAACTACCGGCTGGCATGGGCCTGAACTGGGGCGAGATGATCGCCAATTTCGATCCGGAGAAGCTGTCGCTGGATGATTTTTCAGTGTGGCTGTGCGGCAAGGCCAGTGCAGCAGGCAGAGTGACTGTGCTGAAGACGGGGAGTGTCAGCAGCAGCGGCGGCAGTAGCAGTAACAAGAGAACTCGAAGTGAGACCACCCTCACCACATTGAGCAACAGCGGCAGCTCCAGACAGCAAGAGCGTGCACCCTTCGCCTGCCATTACTGCAACAGCCAACATCCGCTGCGCAGCTGTGACAGTTTTAAAGCACTGGCACTGCAGAAGCGTAGGGAATGGGTAGCTGGGCAGAAGCTGTGTTTTCTCTGTTTCGGCCGCAGCCACCGGGTAACTGACTGCAAGAGCCGGAATCGCTGCTCCGTTGGTGACTGCGGAAAGCGTCACCATGAATTAGTGCACCCGTCTGACAGGAACAGCGGTGGCCACACTGGACAGCAGGAGAGCGTCAATTCCCACACCGCTCAGCGAACTCGAGTTGCCCTGCGTGTTGTACCGGTGTCGCTCTCAGTATCCAACGGACATAGCGTCGAGACACATGCGCTCCTGGATGAAGGATCCACCGTGAGCATTGTGGACGAGAAGCTTGCCAGGGAGCTGGGCGCTACTGGTCCGGTAGATCCCCTGCACCTGAGTTGGACTGGGAATCACAGTCATCACCATGCCAACTCATGTCGCGTCAACCTGTGCATCTCACCTAGAGACGGAGGTGAGCAGTTTGACTTGCAGAACGTCCGCACGGTGGCCAACCTCAGTCTGCCGAAGCAGTTTGTCAACCAGCAGAAACTTGCCCGACAGTGGTCGCATTTGGCGCACATCGACTTGCCATCACTGGCAGAGGTAACGCCTATGCTGCTCATTGGCCAGGACCACTACCACCTGACGGCACCAAGGGAGATCTTGGAAGGTCCGCCGAATGCACCTGTAGCCACCAACACTAAGCTCGGCTGGGTACTGCACGGCAACACCGGACAGTGCCAAAGAGTGGACTCTGAGGTGTCCTTCGTGTCGTGGTCAGCAGATGACGAGTTGACACTTGGCAGCAGATGGATGACCGGCCCAGAGTATCTGCAGAGTCTGCCAGAGCAGTGGCCGCCTGATGTCAAGCCTGCAGTAGCCGACTCAAGTTCCAGCATCGAGCTGAAAGGCGAGTTCGTAGCCACAGCTGTGTCTAGTGAGTGTGTGCGGAATGCAGCGTTACCTGACCCTAGTCGCTTCTCATCGTGGATGAGACTGGTCCGTGCAACCGCTTGGGTGCTCCGCTTCGTCAAGATCTTGAAGCACCGAGCGCTACGTACATCAGCACCACCCCCAGGAGAGCTAGTATGAGGAGCTTGAGAGTGCAGAGCGTCTATGGTGGCAGCAAGTGCAAGCCGACTGTTTCCCTGCTGAAGTTCGCAGTATCGAGTCTGGCAAGCCCGTGGACAAGGACAGCCGCTTGTCACATCTGTCGCTTGTGCTCACTGATGGAGTAGTGCGTCACCACAGCCGACTGGTCAACTCCTCTGATCTGCCTGACATGGTCAAGCAGCCAGTTGTGCTCGATCCGAGTCACCCTTTCACCCGGCTGCTGATTGCGTGGTATCATGTTGCGTCATGTCATCAAGGGCAAGAGCGTGTGTGCAATGAGTTGCGGCAGCGCTATCTCATCTTGGGGCTGAGACGAGCCGTCCGAAGTTCTTGGAACACTTGCCAGAAGTGCAGCAACGACAGAGCACAGCCAGCTGCGCCAGAGATGGCACCCCTGCCGAGCACTCGTCTCACACCGTTTGTTCGAGCCTTTACAGTGGTTGGCATGGACTACTTCGGACCGATGGCAGTGGCGGTCGGACGTCGGCACGAGAAGAGGTATGGTGTGCTGTTCACCTGCCTGAGCACGAGAGCTGTGCACTTGGAAGTTGCGCATGCACTGACCACGGATGCCTGCATCATGGCGATCCGTAAGATGATCGGCAGGCGTGGTCGACCTCGTCAGATTTGGTCGGACAATGGAACGAACCTCCGAGGAGCAGAACGAGAGCTGCGTGAGTCCCTGAACGACCTCGACCAAGACCAGCTCACCACCGACCTGGCATTAGTTCGCATCGAGTGGAGCTTCAACCCGCCATCTGCTCCGCACATGGGTGGAGCCTGGGAGCGCCTGGTTAGAACGGTGAAGTCCACCTTGCGGGTGATACTGCATGAGCGTGCTCCGAAGGACGAGGTACTGTTGACCCTCATGATCGAGGCAGAGGGTCTCGTCAACAGCCGACCACTGACGCATGTGCCAGTGGACCCCAACGATCCGGAGAGCCTCACGCCTAACCACTTTCTGCTCGGCACATCCAGTAGCGTACAGCCACCCGGAGAGTTTACGGACCGCGACCTGTGTTGTCGCAAGCAGTGGCGTCTATCGCAGATTCTAGCTGACATGTTCTGGCGACGTTGGCTGAAGGAGTATGCCCCCAGCCTCAGCACACGCAAGAAGTGGCGTGGCGTTGGTCAAGAAATCAGTGTGGGTGATGTAGTAATCATCGTGGACGATCAGCTGCCGAGGGGCTCCTGGCCCAGAGGTCTCGTCACTGCCGTGTTTCCCGGGCGTGATGGGAAAGTCCGAGTTGCAGACGTGAAGACGGCAACTGGCACCTTCCGCCGACCAGTAGTCAAGTTGTGCCGCCTGAATGTCCTCAGCAGTGCAGCTTAGTAATCAGGCTTGTGAGTATGCCTGTTACCGGGGGGGGGAGAATGTTCCTGCCTGATGGTTGAACTTGTGAACAAGATCGACATTGTTTGAATTTGTTGTGTACTTTGTCTTTGCTATTTTCGTTCTGTCTATTCTCTCACCTTTCTTCTCTCTCGCGTCTTCTGTAGAACTGCTTTCCAGTTTGTCTCTCTCTCTCTTCTCTCTGCTCTTCTCTCTACTCTTCATCATAAGAACGTTTCTCTTCTCCATTTCTTCGTTCTTGTGCTTCTCTAAACTTCTCTACTCTCTTTTTCTCTTCGTTTGAATTTCCTTGAACATGACGTGGACATGTATTTTTTGCGTTTTGAACTGTCTTGATTTTCTTTTATGTTTTTTTGCCAAATGTACAGTGAACTGTGCGCTGTGTGTGTACAATGCTGCGCGGCTAGCGATGCGCTTTCTTTGGTACAGGCTTTTTCTGTTGTGTCCGTGATCTATGGCTTTCGCTTTCTTGCAGTTTTCACCGCTTCGCTGCAATAGTTGCTGTTTCCTTGAAGGCGAACTGCGATGCCTCCATTTTCGTAGATGGTCTTGGTGCGCGAGGAGCCGAGCGGACCTCGTGGCTTTTTTGTTTAGTTTTTCCTTTTTCAGTTTTCAGATTTGTTGTTGTTTGTGAATACACTTTATACAGTCTTCAAGCGAGCAGTAGTTTTCGATGTGTGGTCGTGACTTGGGTTGTCCGTATTGCCCTGAACACTGCGGTATAGCAGTGTTAGAGAGACAGACAGACAGACAGACAGACAGACAGAGAGAGAGCGTGTGTGTGTGTGTGAGGGAATGCTCCGGCAGAGCCAAGCTATTCGGAGTCGTGCCTAATGAGTGATGAAAGTCCTGACTGCTGAAATATTCTTTTGGCCTGACAAACTTCTTTTGCAACTGTGATGCCTCTTTGTGAAATAGCAACGCGGCGACAGTACATTGCAGTGTTGTCGTTCTGTCACCTCTGTGTCTCTGCTTTTCTGAAGTCCCTGCCGGTATCTACGCATGCAGAAAATTTGAGGAGAATATTACGCGAATGAAAATATTGGTCAAAAGCAAAACAGTCGTCAACCCCCGTGTGCTGCTTTGTCAGATCTGCCTGCTGTCCTTTCTTCGGAAGTATTCTGTGTACCGGTGTTTGCCTCTACCTGCTTTTCTCAGTGCCGAGGAACTCATAGTCGCGTGTGCTGTTCACCATTAATACAATCATTTCTGTGTGTGTATGTGGGTTTGTGTGCTGTGTGCATGTATGCGTGTGTCTGTCTGTATGCATGTGTGTGTGTGTGTGTGTGTGTGTGTGTGTGTGTGTGTGTGTGTGTGTGTGTGTGTGTGTGTGTGTGTGACCACCAGGTGCCCTTTGAGACCATGCGGCTGGTGTTTCCGCCAGTACCAGCGTCCATGATCGCCGCCTTCTTCTACTGGGTGCTGAGGCTGATGTTCTCGCTGAGTGCCACACAGGCGTTAACGGCTGGTGGCTTGTTTGGTTACGTGTGCTACGACTTGACACATTACTACCTGCACCATGGCGAGCCACGCCGAGGCACCTACTTCCATCGGCTAAAGTCGTACCACGTGCGCCACCACTTTGTCAATCACAAAGCAGGTCAGTGGAGCCGTGGCCGCACAGAGAGGTTGTGCCAGTCTGCAGCTAGCGGTGTGATGTGGGTGCGGGAAAAAATGAAGAAAGACCAAAAAGCAAGGATTCACCGGCCAGAGAAAGCCACTTCAAATAGCTGAGTGGTGTAGACCAGGCTGAATAGTGGCGGTCAATTCTTCAGCCTTGCAAACTGTGGTGCAAATGGTGCAATCCCAGCACAGTTTGCGATGGCTTCTACTGTAGCGTCGCTATCATCGCTAGTATGCAGCCTATGCAGTGTGTCTTTAGATATATGAACACTGTTAGTGGGGACTGGCCTGTGTGTGGACAAGTGAATCATCCACCCTTGAATACTAGTATGTACTTGGCATTGGTTGTTCATTGTACTTTTTGAACACCTTGCACGAGCATGCTTTGGACAAGACATGACTCTTGCAGCACAATCCCCACCCCCCACCTCCTGCTTGCCCGTAGTGAACCTGGCTGGTATTTCTATGAATCAGTACTTCGCTTGCCGAGTTGTCGTTTTCGTAATGGCATGCTACAGCGTATCTATGTTCTGACACTTTTTTGTTCTGATCTGTTCTCCATGCAGGGTTTGGCATATCAAACTGGTTTTGGGACATTCCGTTCCGCACAGCTTCCTAGCACGATGTGCTGGTTGTTAGTTTGACTTCTCTCTACTAGTTAGCTACACCGTGACCGGTGTGGGTGCTCTGTAGTCCCCAGCCCATCATCTCTCCCTTCCTTTTGTTATGCACTGGCGTGTTCAGCGGGCAACATGGCGACTTGCCGCAGCGCTGACTTGCACAATCATCCGGTATGGTCCCTCGTAACACTTGTGCACTTGATTGGTGGCTCTTCCTGGTGACGAAAGGCGCCGATTGTTCCCGTTTGGTGTTGAGCTGTTGCTCGGCACAGCACTACTCAACAGCACTGCACTGTAAAGCACTGTCCGCTGTGCTCGCGTTAGTCAGCTGTCCAGCTACATGCTCTGCCTCCACCTCCACTGCCACCTATCACCGTCACTAGTAGATCTACTACACCAATTTTAACCGGCCGGCTGGAGAAGTTGTGTGGTGACTGGCCATCTTGCGGTCGTATACTCCTCCATAAAACTCACCTCGAATATATTTGTGAGAAGGTCAGTGGAGAACGCACTAGCAGGTCACCTAAGTTCGTCATTCACACGACTACTAGTAATGATAGTCGACTGTAGCATTGACTGCAGTGTTGAACATGGTGCTCTGTGGTGTGCTGCTCAGTAACAGCACAATTGGTATTCCCTTGTGAGTATTGTGTGTGTGTGTGTGTGTGTGTGTGTGTGTGTTGCTGCCAGAGAGCCTCGTTGCCCTGGCCATGATTCAACACTCTGTGTGTGTGTCTGAGTGTGTGTGTGTTTGCGCGTGCGTCTGTGCATGTGTGTGTGTCCGTGTCTTAACTCCCGGCGTATTTGCAAACTATTTTGCATCATTGCTGTCGCTACTCGTGCTGCTCGCCGCCCGGCCTATTCCAGTCTGAGCATGAACGGCTCTATTTCTCAAACTTACCGTTTTCGTACGATTTCCGTACTTGTCTCGTGTCGTCCTCGTCTCTAGATACTGACTTTATTCGCATTCTCAACCAGAACCAGAACCAGCCGATAGCAGGCTGTCAAGTAGGTAGGCTTACATGTTTTGTACTGCAGCCGGCATTGGACTGTCTGATATACATGTACATGGTGCATGCTTGCTAAGGTACCGTGTCCCCATGTTCGTGATTGACTTGCCATCTCTAGCTGTTCTGCTGGACGTGCTCGCGTTAGCCCTTTTTTAGAGTAGCCTGCGTTTCTGCGCGTGCGTGCATGTCTTCGTTGTCAATTTTGTACGCTTCTCTTTCCATGGAGATACTCGATGATAATGTAATGGTGTGATGGCTGGGTTTTTTTGTATGACGAAGTTTAGTACATGTAGTTAGTTACGACTATGCCTGTTTTCCAGTGCTCCTCCCTTTCATGTACATTGCGTACAGAGTCTTACCTTTCTAGCTTTTTGCTGTCTCGCCTGCTGTTCTATTATTTTCCTGGCTAGTGTTGATCATTGGTCACGTGTTGTTGTGCTAACTGCTGACTAGAATCAGATAACCTACAGCTGAGCAGCTCAGTCTGTGCTCTCAAGTTGTTTGTCCCGACCTGCTGTTGCCCATCAACTGTCTGTGTGCTTGTCTGCACGTGCTAACGCGTACGTGTGCGGGATACATTCTGACACTCCTGCAGCGGCATTGCATTCTTTACCCAGCACAGTCAACTTCGCTAATAACGACAATTCGCGAATAACGACAGAATTTCCATGCCCAGAGCAAAGTCCATTCTACCTGTATACATAGAATGAGACTTCAGGTGTAACGACACTTCGCGAACAACGACACCTTTCTGATGCCCCGCAAAGTTGACTGTATTAGTATAGTTGTGCGCACATCGGATGATCCCATGAGTCATGGTCACGAGTGTACAACTACCTCCACGTCTGCACGTTCTTTATCCAGTCCAGAGATCTCCTACTTATAATTAGTACAGGATGTGTCACAAATGCAATGTCACTATGTTATCTGCAGCAGGGAGTGGTATTCGATGGACGACCTCCAGTGACTAGCTGGTTCAAAGCAGGGAGTCGTAAAATACCGTATTTTACGACTCCCTGGTTCAAAGTAAGCTAGACGGAGGCAGAGGGACAAGCCAGGAGTCGTGAAAATGCCAATATCTTTCATGACTCCGGGATTATCAACTTTCTGATACAAATCCATCAATTCACACAGTTCATGCAAGTACGGGAGGTGCGTCGTAATTGGCAGCGGATTACTATTAGCATACTTCGTACCAGGCTGAGGGAGTAGTTATAGTGCCCCTGCAGCATCTAAACAGCTAAAGTATTCGGAGCTTCTTTTACCCCATGCAGTTTATTACACCCAGCTGTTCTCCAATACTCAACTCCAGACATGAAAATGCTTGTGCATATACCGGGGCATTTAATTTACCGTAAAGTCTTGTATAAAAGCCGCGGCTTCTATGACTTTCTTGGTGAAAATTTGCAGGCTTCAATACAAGATAGGTATTTCTATGTATGTCAACACCAGGCTTATGTGTGATTTGATGGGCCCAAAATTGCGGCTTCTATTCGAGGGCGGCTTCTATTCAAGTGCGGCTTTTATACAAGACTTTACGGTAGTCCAAACTTCCCCACATGTGGTTTCTGGCCGACCCCATTCACCACGATATATAAACGTACATGTACCGTAAAGTACCGCGAGAGCGCCCCACCTTGATTTTACAGCCAGGGAAAGGAAAATCGTATGGCAGAGTGCAACGAAGTTTGTACGGTGTGAGCGCCTTCCGTACTAAGGTCACACTTAGCAGGCTTTTGTGAGGAGCTCGCATCCGCTCGAATGTAAATTGAGTACTGATGGACTGCACAAAGTGCAATGTGCGTACAATGTTCGTATCGTATGACCCACACTGGTATGGCTACAGACAGGACACCATCTCCACGAAAGGAGGAGATTGTGGGACACTCTCGCGGTACTTTACAGTACATATATTACCATTGCCGGGCAATACTAAATCTCGCACGACAATGTTACTTTGCCCATTTATCATCATCATCATCATCATCATCATCATTATCCTGATCATGGAAGAAGTATCGGGCGTACATGTCTGTACAGTATGGATGGCTGTATTTCATGATACATTGCATCAAACTTAAATTAAAGGGTGGAGCAATAGCCAGCAATAGTTAGTTATCTGTATTTACAAACTGCTAAGGGCTGGGAAGCTGCTCAAGTTGGTCACACACACACACACACACACACACACACACACACACACACACACACACACACACACACACACACACACACACACATACACACACACACACACACAAACACTCACACACTGAGCATGGCAAGTTAGGTGGGGATGGTGTTAAAACGGGCAGCCACTGACCAGAGTGATGATATCACTGTTCTGTATATACTGCTAGCAGTATAACCAGAGCAATGACGTCACAGTGACATCATACTGCTGTGCCGTCTTCACCTTGGGAGCTTGTTGCAGCTGCAGCATCCTCCTCTGCCTGGCGTTTGCGAGCGGCCAACACTTTCTCGCGTCGCTCGTCCACCATGGCAATGAATTCATTAAAGTCAGCGACAGTTTTGATGCCCTGTATGTCCCAGGCTCTGCGGTGCAGCCAAGGCATGGATACCTCAGCTTCCCGGGCACGCTTTGCCAACACTGCATCTCGCTCCTTCTTCGACATCATCAGCTGCTTGAAGTAATCCTCGCGCCCTTCAAAGTGCTCCTTCACAAGACCAGCATGCTGTTCCTGCATCATAGGATTTGGCCTTCTTTTCCTCCTTGATGTCCGTGGCGGCATCTGATCTAGTTGATCGGCTGAGATTTTCGGCACACCCTCTGGCAGTGGATCATCGGGGTACTCCACAAACTTCCACTTCATCGGCGCATCCAGCCTGTCCGGTGCTTTCTCCTTCACCTCCGCTGCGTCTGGCTCAGCGCCCAAGCCTAGAGCTGGATATAGCGAGGGATAGGGATTTCCTTGAAGCTCTACGATCGCCATCCGAGCGCCATCCCTCAGCCGATTGGGTATTCGATAAATGTCGATGTAATCACCATCTTGCCTCAAATAGCGCACCGGTAACTCCAGACACAGCTTCTCAATCGTTTCACCCTCATTGATAATTATCTTTGCTTCTCTCATTGCGTCCCATTCGCCATTCTTTACCTTGTCAATCAGCTTCTCGCCCCAGTGCTTCGTCACGAGGGCGTTGTGGTATGTCGTGATAATTCGCTCATACTTGATGATATTCTTGAGCAGGTCCTTCGTTTTGATACGACTGTCCCTAAAACTCCTGGGATGGGCGAGCTTCGGAACATACGGAACGTAGGGCTTGGGTTTGGGTGTTAGGGGTCGGCCGCCCCAGGATCTAATACGGGTGGGTATCCTCTCCACCATGGTGAGATCAGGCAATCATGGCTATTAGAAACTTCCTTCAATTACAATTTCTAGTCACCTTTCTAGGCTTTCTTCAGGCTCATTTGAAAGATATTTTTTGCTGTAGATTCACTTTTTCTTGTCACGCGCCACCATGCATGCCATTGCATGGTACATGGTACCAAGAGTAGATAAACTCTTGATGGTACCAAGGCAACCAAAAAAGTGTGGAAAAACAAGCCGCGAAAAACAATACGTCATGATGCACAGTAGACTGACGTCATGATTGGTGACCAATGACTAAGCTTACCAATGAGTCGTGACATACGTCACCAGCAGAAAACTCAAAACTAAAAGACCTCAAAATATCGATGTCTTCTTCATTTTCTTGTTCAGACCGACGTCTTTGTTGTGTCGATTCGATCTGCTTCAAGTGTTTGCTACGTGATTGCTGTCTGTACATGTACCTCACGGCTAGACGCTGGTGGCCGTTGACAAGCTAGTCACACACAGTTGATATAACTTTTTTTATGCACAGAAATCGAGCTCGACAAAGATAGGCTTTAGTTTAGGAACTGATCTTTCCAGTGGTAGTATTATCCGGAGAACCAGTTCTCACCTTGACTACGATATTCCTCTGCTGGAGCTGGTGCTGTACTGTAGCTATTCAGGATCTAGAGCAAGGTCAGTTTCCTCATTTGCTCAGTATCACGCAGAGCAACATAGTTGCTAGTTTCATTACACCTACGAAGTCAAGTTTTGTCCACAGGCTTCTTGGCCCCTTCCCATCAGGCATCCGTGGGTACATAGGAACTAAAGCTAGAATTGTCCATCCAGTCCAATGTTTACAGCGTATGAAGGTGTGCGCACAAGTAGCAGAAAGCCGGTGTAATGTGCTTAGCAGCACCGCAACGGCATGGTAACGAACCTCTTCACCTGAAGTGTCGAGCAACGCGATGACTACTTATCTAGGACTGTGCACGTACGCATGCGCACGCACACATATACACATGTATATACACACACGCACGCGCGCGCGCGTAAACACACACACATACACACGCACGCGCGCGTGCGCGCGTAAACACACACACACACACACCTTGAACTTGCCCATTGCGTAGCAATCATAGCGCATTGTTATTTCTCCAGTCCATGACAGAATGACTGATGCCGTTTCAGGTCGCCACTTCGACTGAACATGCGGTCGCAGGCGCAACTGTAGCTAGCAGCAGAGGGTGCCTTGGGTGGTCGACGGGCAATGGTACGCCACTCCGGACGGTTCTGGGCTGCATCATACCATCCACGTGTTGGTACCGGTGGCTCAACCGACGCGAAGTCATCCACAACGACGTCTTTCCACCTCTTGCGTGGACCATGTGCTGGGTGTGGGGCAGGCAGTTCACCGAAGAGAACACACATTGGCAACCGGTGATCTTCCATCCGTGCCACGTGTCCAAGCCAGCGCAAACGCCGTTCCCGTATGATGAGACCAATGTCCTCAGGCACTCCTAGGGTCTTTGCGAGGGCCGAGGACGTTACTTGTGTCTCCCATTGCTTCCGTCGCGACACTCCGACTATAGCTCTGATACACTGATGGTGGAAGAGGTTGAGATGTCGTAGTTCCGGAGCCTTCGTTGTCCAGGTCTCCGCCCCGTACAGGAGGGTAGATAGCACCACGGCAACATGCACGCAATGACGACACTGCAGACTCAGTGACCGGTTCTCGAACACGGCTTGCTTCAAGGTACCAAAGGCTTTTGGTGCTTTTCCAGTGCGGGCCTGCATGTGGTGGGAAGACACACCATCGCGGTGTATGGCACTTGTCGAGAACGGTAGGGGAAGACAGACTCATCAGACTCATTCTCATACCACAGTTTCCTTTCTAAAGACTTCACCTTCCCATAATCAAAAACCTAGCCAACAACAACAAAAAACTCGCAAAAAACACTGGCCCGCCAAGGGCGCAGCCAGCCTGACGGAAATCATATGCATAATTATTATAAACGTAGCGCAGCGCAGTGCCGAAAATGCAGTCACCAGCCCGTGACATGCAGAACATTGGGGCTTGCGCGCGGGTGTGCAGCCGGGCTGTATCATGCAAGCGCGGATTATGCGGAATGCAATGATATAACTACAAGAAAACAAATCTCGGCAGCAACGAGTGCATTCAGAGAAGAAGAAATGAGTTCAGATTTAAGTATTTTGTGATGAGCAGCAGAGACAAACATGCAGGAGAGTATAATTATATGATGAGATGGAGGCGACATTGGGAATACTCGGATTCACAATGTACGCGTGCCATCAGCTGGGTAATCAGAGTCGTCGCTGGACATCGTAAGTCCCAACTCAAATGTATTTGGAATATGATAATAAAATGTTATGGCAAGTTGGACTGACTGTTAATTAATTACGATATGATCATGCAATGCGGGAGTCTATACTTGCAACCTCAAATTGATGTGAAGTAGTCTTCATGATGTGGTGACATTCATGACATTCCCGACAACGAAAGTTATCTTACCCACTCTGCGATACGCTCACGGGCCTTCTCTGCTGCTTTGCGATTTGCCCGCCTAGGCTGGAACATGGTTGGGGCAGCTTCGTCCGCTATTGCCTGTTCCATAGCCGTCGCCGGTGCCGGGCGGTGTTCCATATCACCAGCCTCCACTGCTCCGACATCATCCACAACGTGCAGCTCGAGCGGATAGAGCTTGCTGATCGGTCTCGACAACACTGCCTTCGATTTAGCCGTCTTCAGCTTGACAGCTCTGACTTGGCCATCGACTCCAGGGAAGATTTCTACCACTCCGCCGAGTCTCCAACTTCCACGTGGCTGGCCGGTCTCTTGGATTACGACCACTTCTCCGACTGTTGGTGTCCGAGAGATGCTACTCCGTGACTGTCGGTGTTGACTCATTGATGCTTCGCGCAGAGCAGGGAGGTATTCATCTTCCCACACCTTCCATGCTACATCCAGTTGTATCTGTTGCCGTTTCCACATCCTCGTGACCTTGGCTGCTGGTGTCTCCGGACCGTCCTCCTCGTCGCTGTCCGTCTGAAAACCGGTTGCCGTTCCTCCTCCACAGAGGAAATGTGACGGTGTCAGGGGTGAGAATGAGGACACATCGTCGTCGTCAACATATGTAAGCGGCCTCGTATTGATCATGCCTTCCACTTCGGCTGTCAGGGTTGCGAGCTGGTCTAGAGTCAGGAGGCACCTTCCAAGACTCTTCCTCAAGGCTCTCTTGACAATGCTCACCAGCCTCTCGTACACACCGCCCTTCCATGGCGCAAACTCTGTTGTGAAGCTCCATTCGATATTCTCCGTTGAGAGATACGACAGCAGGTCTGGGTTGGCAAGAATCAGCTTCAGATGATCGTCCAGGACAGAGCGTACCAACTTGAACTGGGGTGCGTTGTCACACACAATAGACTTTGGCTTGCCTCGTCTCGCCGCGAACCGTCTCATGCTGTTCAAGAAGGCTGCTGCAGATAGGCCAGAGACTATGTCCAGGTGTACAGCTCGTGTGGTTAGGCAGGTTACCAGGTTGATCCATACCTTGCCTTTCTCTGTGCCGGTGCGGATCAATAGCGGTCCGAGGTAGTCAAGACCAACGTACGTGAATGGAAGTGCTCTGGTAATCCGTTCCTTGGGCCATGGGGGCATGGACGGCAACTTGAACGGACGCCCTTCGTGTCTTCGGCAAACCGAGCACTGATCCAGGATACGGCGAACGATAGCACGGCCACGTATGATCCAGAACTCTTGCCTTGTCTGGGCCAGGGTGTGTCGAACACCTGCATGCAGAAGCCGTCCATGGACTTCGCTGATGACATGCTTCGTGAACGCGTGATACGTTGGTAGCAGCTTCGGTAGTTTCTGGTCAGTTGGTAGTTCAGCGTTGCTCAGTCTTCCGGCGCATCGCAGTATGCCGTTGTCGTCGATCACAACACCAAGGTTAGCAACTGAACTGTGCTTGGCATTGGTCTTGATAGCTTTGAAGATGTCAGGGAAGGCCTCGAGTTGTACCATTCGAGTCCACCAATCTCGCGCAGCCTGTATGTCTTGTGACACGATGTCGTAGCTGTTGCTGATCTGAGAGAGACGTGGTGAGTTGGGACGCAGTTTCTTCAGGAACTTCATGCACAGAGCAGTGATTCTCAGGACCTTCCTCAAACTGCTTGCTCTCGTAAGCACGCTGCCGAGACCAGATGGAATGGTGTGTGGACTAGGTTGGTCAGTAGCACGATCGCTGCCACCAGTCACCAGGCTTGCGGTATGAAGCGTTGGTGCTTGCTCCTCCTTGCTGGCTAGGTTTTTGATTATGGGAAGGTGAAGTCTTTAGAAAGGAAACTGTGGTATGAGAATGAGTCTGATGAGTCTGTCTTCCCCTACCGTTCTCGACATGGTGCTGTGACCAGGATCACTGCCAAGATACGAAAACGATTCCACAGAATCAATGGCACCACCATCCAATGCCATTGGCGCATTTGCCAGAGTGTTTACCTTCGCCTTTGGTTTTGGCCACGCAGACAGTCAAACCCCATTGAGAAGCACACGAGGTAAACTTGGTCGTGGACGACTCGAAGTCTCGCTGAGTGGTGGAGAAGACTGCAGCATCGTCGGCAAAAAGTGCGCACAAACACCCACGCACACACACCTACCTTTTCATGCTGTGAATCTCTCTCTCTCTCTCTCTCTCTCTCTCTCTCTCTCTCTCTCTCTCTCTCTCTCTCTCTCTCTCTCTCTCTCTCTCTCTCTCTCTCTCTCTCTCTCTCTCTCTCTCTCTCTCTCTCTCTCTCCTCTCACCACTGCCAGAAGTTCACATGCAGCGCCTAGTCGATCGGTGGCGATATCTTGCTTGTCAGGCCCGTGCGCCAGTTTGCGCATGAGGCGTAGTCAATGACGCAGCGATGGCTTTCTGGATTAAGACTCGATGTTTATTCCCTTTGGACTCCCCTGGCAATCTTGTTGAGAAAAGACAGTACGGGTTTGCCTGGTAGGGCAGAGCATTGCTTGCAGCTAGATAGAGCATGTGATATTTGGCGTGTGTTGATTGCTAGTACTTCGTATTACCGTCTATGCCTGTATATGGAGGTGTTTATGTGCAGTCTTCAAATTATTTTCCAAATTATTCGACACTTGTGCTGCTTTTTTCTCATTCTACTGTGAATCTTTTATATGATTGTCTTGCACTGCTCACAGGGGAGTACTGTGGTGTTGGTGGCCCATGGTGCACAGTGACTGCTAGTGCTTTCTTACTACTTTGCAATGGCAAGCGGTGGTGGTGCAGGCGCTGTGCCGATGCGCCAGGTGCATGCTGGCAGCTCGGGTGCCATCCCTGCGCCTGCCATCGTCTGGATATCGAACACAGATCTTTTCAACAAGTGAGCGCGATACCCGTAGCAACACTGCAGTGTCATTAAGTACCTGTGCTATGCTCTGGGTCTTCGTTATTTACGTTTGGACCCTGATGATGGGCCAGGCCCGAAAAATTGGTGGAATATATAAATTGATTTGATTCGCTGTGAAGAGACCGTTCTTGGAGTGTTGGAGTGAAGTTTCATACATGATGTAGTGTCATTGTTCGTCTAGACTCTTATCCCTTTATAGTACATTAGCAAGAGTCCATAACCCAAGAGTATGCAACTGTGATTATGGGTGCATGCGTGGCGCGCTGCCTTCATTACGTAACTTGCCTTCATCACGCTCTGAAAGCATGCATTCAAACTCTCAATTTCTCGCACGAGCCCATCCGTTTTTGCTCGATTCGTTCCAGTACCTACACAATCTCTGAATTCTGGCGCGTGAACTCCAGTTCCGTACGAAAGTTCATTTCAAACTAGAGGGAAAGTGCGGTGTTTGATTTTCCGCAGTGCGCGGACTGCAGCTGAATGATGTAATGAAGTCAGCGCGCCGCGCGGTTGGCCCATAGAAAAGAGATCACAGTTGCATACTCTTGGATTATGGACTCTTGACATTAGCTATAACACGGGTGGCGCTGTATGTGTAGTGCACTGCACCTGTCACTCTGAGTACTTCCTTATGCCACCGATTTCAGTGTACATTCCGTCTGCATGCGGGCATTTCGCTGTCAGCCTGTTACCCATCTAGCTTAAAGCTACAGTGCTGTTCAATGAAATCCAGTCAAGTCACTCAAGTACGCGCCCGGCGATGCGCGGCCCTAGACCTGCCAACACTGGGCTGCGGAATGATGCAAGGCGCAAACTTGGGTGACACGACTGGATTTCATGAGCAGGACTGTAGTTACAGTCAAGCTCCTGAATAATGACCTCAGGTACAACAACGGCTCGTGAATAACGACACAATCTTCAGATCTAGTTGCCATTTGACGGCATGCTTTCAACGTCACGAATAACGACAACTTGCAAATATCGACCCTTTTCTGATGAATGATCCAGGGTCGGTATTCGCAAGGTTGACTGTGGTAGTGGGTGCTATGCAATCACAATTACTCTGGGGTAGTGGGCCACCATGAGACTGCTTTCAACATAGCAGATGCTGCACTCCACAGACACACGCACACACGCGCACACACCCACACACACGCGCGCGCGCACGCACACACACACGCACACACACACAGCAGCATGACGATGAAGTTTAAAAACTCTGGGAAAGAGCCAGGGCAGTGCTATTGAAGAGCTATTGTCACCAGGGCTGCTATCAGAAGGAATGTCTTAATTTCCTTCCCTACTCCTTGCCAATCCCCCCCCCCCCCCTCCCCTCTCTCTCTCTCCACGCACACCACTTTATTCCTTGATGATGTGTTGCTGTGTTACAGTTTAATAGTTTTGTGTTGGTGTATGCGTGTGTGTTGTGTTGTGCTTTACAGGCTACAGTTTGGCAGCAATATGATGCTAGTAGATCTTCAGAAGAGGGAGTGCTTTGACAAGTGAGTGGGCCACAGTGTGTGTGTGTGTGTGTGTGTGTGTGTGTGTGTGTGTGTGTGTGTGTGTGTGTGTGTGTGTGTGTGTGTGTGTGTGTGTGTTGTGCATACCGCTGAGCACGGCTGTTGGCGCACATCAACGCTTTCTTGATCATTTGCCGGACTCACTAACTAGTTTACTTGCTGTGTCTTCACACACTGCACTACTGGAACAATGTAGTTTGTGAATTAGCGCACCCCGGTGTTGTCAGATGAACAGTGGAATGTGTGTTTGACACTGTTTGTGCATGTGTGTTTGTGCATGTGCATGTTTGTTTGTGTGTGTGTGTGTGTTTGTGCATGTGTGTCTGTGTGTGTCTGTGTGTGTCTGTGTGTGTCTGTGTTTGTGCATGTGTGTGTGTGTGTCTGTGTGTGTGTGTTTGTGCATGTGTGTCTGTGTGTGTTTGTGCATGTGTGTCTGTGTGTGTTTGTGCATGTGTGTCTGTGTGTGTTTGTGTATGTGCATCACCATACTCTACAGATATCATGTGCGCAGTGCGCTCAACATTGATTGGAACAGGGCGTTACAGGTCAGTTTTGTGTGTATGTGTGGGGGGGTTGTCACTGTATCTTTGTGTCGGCGCAGCTCCCATTAGCACCCAACTTCCTTCTGGCCTCAGAATAAGTAGAGCGAAGGTTGCAATGATCACCACATTCACTGCAGTTGTGTTTTGTGCTCAAATACTCATCATTTCCTCCAGTTTGCTGAGGAGAATGAGGACTTCAGCAGCCCGACAGCGATACTGAATCATGTGTCTGACATCCACGACCGGCGATTCCGCTTACGGCCGTATTGCGAAGTGATTGTGTATGCTGGTGGGGATAACTCACTGCCTCGTGCCGATCGTGCTAGTGATGATGCTGCACCTGCTGTTGCTGCCGCTGCTGCCGCTTGTGCCGTAACGGGTACGAGTGATGATGACGATGATGTAAGTATACTTTGCAGGGGCTTGGCAGGGTACTGTGTGCGCTTTATCATTCATTCGTTTCCTCTTTTTTTGCCTGTCATGCACTTGCACGTACGTGCTCCCGCGTGTGGAGGTACACACATGCACACATACACACACACACACACACAAATGCGCGTGCACACACACACACATACTCTAAGTCTCTAAATCTCTGTGTTTCTACGAACGCCTCTTACGGGCGATTTCCATATGCTGTTCCGCCACGTTCCTGTAGCATTTCAGTATGGGCATGGTCTGAAGTGAGCACAAGCTAGATCAAACCTGGTACTGAAAAGCAGCCGAGAATCCGATACGACACTCTGCGAATATTCCAGAACATGTTCTCTACCTTTTCCCTGATTTGATTTGGCTGTACATGTACTGGCAACATGTATTATTGACACTTCATTCATAGAAAAAAGACCTTTGAAGACTTGCAAGTGACAGCCACTGGGAGAATATGGTGACGTTTCATTACTGAACATTTGTTTTGTCAGGTCTTGGGTCATAGTCACCTCCACCCTGCCATTCTGCCGCTGCCAGCTCATGTTCTGTCTGTCTGTGTGCGAATATTTGTGTGTGTGTGTGTGTGTGTGTGTGTGTGTGTGTATGTGTGTACATGTGTGTGTGTGTGTGTGTGTGCATGTGTGTGTGCATGTGTGTGTGTGTGTGCATGTGTGTGTATGTGTATGTGTGTGTATCTACACATACACGTATTGTGTGTGCACGTGTCCACTGTCACCCCGCCACACCGCACCGCACTGTCCTGATCACCGTCATGTCGCTAGGACGGTGCAGTCATGTCAAGTCGTGAGCTAGTCGTCTCATTTGCCGAGTGTCTGCTTTCTGAGAGTAAGGTGGAGTCTTCTTTCTTTAGCACACGTAGTTCGCAGACTCTCTAAACTTCTACTAGTTCTAGAGTTTAGTATGTACTTGTCTCGTGAGTTTTTGTCACTTGATCACTAATGCCCCCCTCCCTCACCGTATTTTTCTTACTCAATCTTCGAACAGCTAGCTGTTTCGACCTTATTAGGTCTCATCAGTGGCACACAAACGTCTTTTCTTGTGTGAATTTGTGTCTGTGTCTTCTTCAACGTCTTTCATACAGAGAAAATCACCAAGGACATCCTGCTTGTTGAGGTAGGAGTGCTATGGATATACACTCCTCTGTTATTCTCTCCCCTTCTTGGCATTCTCTCTCTCTCTCTCTCTCTCTCTCTCCTCTCTCTCTCTCTCTCTCTCTCTCTCTCTCTCTCTCTCTCTCTCTCTCTCTCTCTCTCTCTCTCTCTCTCTCTATCTATCTATCTATCTATCTATCTATCTCTATCTCTCTCTCCCTTTCTCTCTCTCTCTCTATCTATCTATCTATCTATCTATCTCTATCTCTCTCTCCCTCTCCCTCGACCAGTCTTTTTTTTAAATCTCATCTATCCCCTGGAAGCAATGGGAGGAGTGAAAAGTGACTGAGAGGATGTGAGAGGGAACGTTACTCAACTTGTGACTTACTTGTGTATTTCATTGCTGCGACATGCATGTGTCCCATGCCATTGCATCACATTGCACAACATACAGTGTATTGTCCGGCCACCGTCACAGTAGTACTGTTCTGCTGTGTGTGTGTGTGTGTGTGTGTGCGTGCGTGCGTGCGTGCGTGTGTTTTCTGCGGGTGTTTCCCCATAACAGGGTGGTATAGAATTGATCATGGACACTCGGCCATACTTAGTGAAAGGCACCGACTCATTCGCTGACGTTCAGTTCCCGAATGAAATTGTAGAGGTAATACAGTCATGTAGTCCTGTATTCTGCTTCATAATACTAATGTATTGTATTGCTTTTGTTCCCTGTGGTATTTTGTTTTAGAGTCTGTGAATGTGTGGGTGTTTGGACATTTGAGTCTCTGGGTGTGTAGGTCTTTGGGTCCGTGGGTCTGCGGGTTTGTGGGTCTGCGGGTCCATGGGTCTGCGGGTCTTTGCTACTCTTTGGTTTATTTTCCAATCTCAAAATGGAGTGGAAAGCACTGGCATGACTTGATTAAGCGACGAGGGGATATTTCATAAGTGATAAATTCAATATATTATTCATGGTATGTCGATCCATCTGGTCCTATTGACTGTTTCCTTTACTCAAAGCTGACTATGGCTATGAGATTTGCTGCGGTTGCAACCGTCCGAGTTACCTGGTATTTTTAACCAATCATCCGACACAGCACTGTCGGTAGTGGGGGTAGGTGACTAGGATCTCAAAAAAGATGTGATGTGCAGAAATTTTCAATAAAAGGTACATGTAAGATGCGAACTTAGCGCCATTCGGGTTGATACGGTTACTTCAAATGATGATATGTATAATGTATATGTCTTGATGTACGTGTACATGTATTTCACTGGGCTGTAGCCTGTAACCTCATGTTATCTCCCACACGCTATGATGTATCTGCCATGCTCTGTGCCCATACAGGACTTCATGTATTTAGGGAGTTTCAATGCAGCGGCGAATCGCCAGTGTATCGACTTGCTGGGAATCACTCACGTTCTGAATGCTACCAACGCATGTGAGTCCGTGTTCCAGGGTGAACTTAAGGTGAGCAGGACTTGACGTGTGTTGTTTCAGTGGTATCAATGACAGGCTGCGTATGTGCATATGTGTGTGCGTGTCTGTGTCTATATGACTCTCGGTGTGTGTCATGATACATGGTGTGTGTGTGTGTGTGTGTGTGTGTGTGTGTGTGTGTGTGTGTGTGTGTGTGTGTGTGTGTGTGTGTGTGTGTGTGTGTGTGTGTGTGTGTGTGTGTGTGTGTGTGTGTGTGTGTGTGTGTGTGTGTGTGTGTGTGTGTGTGTGTGTGTGTGTGTGTGTGTGTGTGTGAGGGATATGAGGGAATTGAGGTCCGAGTAAGAAGAAGAGATGCATTGTGATAAACTGTATCTCAGTATGGTTGACTAGATATTAATTTTGTAGTTATCTTGACGGTGGATGTTCATTGGTGCATAATATTATGGATGTGTGTGTGTGTGTGTGTGCGTGCGTGCGTGTGTGTGTGTGTGTGTGTGTGTGTGTGTGCATGCGTGTGTGTGCATGCATGTGTGTGTATGTGTCTCTGGTGCATTCTCCCATCCCTGTTCACAGTACCTACAGTGTGAAGTTGAAGATGACTTGCTATCGGACATTGAACAGTATTTTGAACCAGCGTTGGCATTCATTGAAGAGGCTATGTCCAATGATGGAAGCCGCATTCTTATTCACTGCAAAATGGGAATGAGGTAGGTGTTGGCTCATGAGTCATAATCGCTTACCCATAAAACATGTGAAAGCTCGATGATTCCCAGTAAAAGCATTCCCCAGCTCTATCATTCCCCAGCCCTATCATTCCCCAGCCCTATCATTCCCCAACCCTATCATTCCCCAGCCCTATCATTCCCCAGCCCTATCATTCTCCAGCCCTATCACTCCCCAGCCGTATCATTCCCCAGCGTATCATTCCCCAGCCCTATCACTCCCCAGCCCTATCATTCCCCAACCCTACCATTGCCCCTGCGTTTCATGGTTCATCGAAGGTGCCATTTGGTTTTATATTGTCCTTGCTATGCGGGCCTTACCCCTTGCAGCTGGGGAATGTCTGATGCAGCACTCTAGCCAATGCAGCCCTGTACGCCTACCTAAAGCTACACTCTATTGAGCTCACCTCACATTGCTTGACCTCACCATCATAATCCTGCCTTCTTCTCCTTGTTTTGCAGCCGTTCTGCAGCGTTTGTCATTCTCTTCCTGATGAAGTCACGGCGCATGTCACTACGCAAGGTAGGCCACGACACAGACGTGCAGTCGCTACACCCCGTGCCAAGTGAAATCCAGCCTGCTGAGTCGCATTCACTGCATGGGCCCCATGCTCCCAGTGCTAGGGCTGTGCATCATCCGCAGTCCCCATGTCCATGGGGTTGGATTTCATTCACCACAGCTGCATACATGTACATGTTACATACAGTAGAAAGCACTTACCGTGTTTCCCTGGTTATAAGTCACACCATCACTTTCAGCTCTCAGCCGTATATTGTGTTCAATATGCATGTATTCACACAAGAAGGAAGTCACACTCAATTGCAAGTCGCATCCCCATCTTTGCCCTTGAAATTTAGTGTAAAAAGTTGCGACTTACTTCAAGAAAGTACATTCGGGGAAATACGGTACCCGGCACTGTACCTCAAAAGACCAATCATCCTGGCTGAAACACTGAATGCGTCAACATACTATTGAAGTACATGGTACTACATGTACAGTAGAACTATGATGAGACATACCCGCATAGGGGACAGGAAAGTGTACTTAGTGGCCCAGATACTTCTTACCCCAACCTACTTCAGTATGGATCAATACACACATGCTCCGCACAATGTCCGTACCAAGCAAGAGTGTGTGTCTTATCAGAGTACCGTAAAGTCGTGTATAAAAGCTGCGGCTTATATGACCTTTTTGGGGAAATTTTGCAGGCTGCTATACAAGACAGGTATTTCTATGTATGTGAGCACTAAAGCCAGGCTTATGCACCGACAGTGTATCTTGAAAATCAGGATTCTATTCGAAACAGGCTTCTATATGAGACAGGCTTTAATACAAAACTCTACGGTGCGTACACGTAGTATTTGAGTTCCGCTGTATTTTGAAATACAGTGACTACCGTACCGTAATGCGACACTCCTGTTCTGACGCAGCAAAGCATATTCCCCCGTCCGTGTTTCTATCAGCTCGTTGCAACATCATCAGTACGCCCTGTGTGTATGTGTTTGTGTGCGTGCGTGCACTTTGTGTGTATGCTAGGCGTACAATTTCGTAAAGACCATTAGGCCATTTGTCAATCCCAACCCGTCATTCCTGAAGCAGCTAGCCGTATATGAGGTAAGTGCATCATGATCACTTGATACAGCAGCACAAGAACATTCCACCTTTATTAGTAGCAAAGAAAGGTAATTCCATTATGGTCGAGTGCAACTTACACAGCGAGACAGACATTTTTTTAATAAAGCGGCGAGGCGACAACGATTGTTTTAAGAATAGCGATCAGCAAGATCAGCTGAAGCGACGGGGGCATGGTTAGAGAGGGGGGGGGGGGCGTACATCTAACTAGTTACATGTGTGTGGGCTTGTCAGTTGTCACAGATGCTACTTCGAATTAGTGTCTCCTCTTTGTTCTATTTCTAGGCATACCGGTAGGTGTATGTGTATGTTCTCTTCAGCTTGGCAGCCTTGAATTCACACGCATATACCCCGTGTATCGTTTTACACGTATGCATTCATGGTGTGGAACAGCAGAGTGGAAAGGCGCTGACGCCTGTTGGGAATTCCCTAGTAAAAGAAGAATAGTTTAACTCGGATGGTGAGCCAAGTAAATTATGGTGAAAAAAGGAGGACGAAATGTTACGAGTTATGACTAACTGTCCACCAACTTTGGAGCTAGGTGTCAGGTCGCCGAATGTCTCAGTACTCCTTTGTCAGTTTGTGCCATTTTGTCGCACTCGCTGACTGTATAAGATCTGGTTACGTTGGTGGACAGTTAGGGTGCATTCTTATATTCTCTAGCTTCTAGGAGAAGAAGAAAAGAGAAGTCGAAGAAACTGGGATAATTCAGGAACGGGTCTCGAAGAATTCGGAGATATTTTGCCCATGTCAAGCAAAATGAAGCGCCAAAGGGGCCGCGGTCTTGAGTGCCACAAATATAGTATGCGCTGTGCGTATGCGAAAAGGGAAATGCGTACACTCATGATTAACACGTAGCTTTTAGCCTACAGTGCATTTCAAAACTATAGACGCGTAGTAATTTGAAATATTTCAAATTTGGCTGGACCTTTTTGAGAATAGTTTTCGGAATATTGCTCAGGATCGCTCTACAATTACTCTCATATAGTTTCTAAAGGATTGGATAACAGACGCCCAATTTGGAAAAATTTATGCACAAAGTGATCACAGATTTTATGTGGTATAGATGCTGGCATAACGGTTTTTGCCTAGGTACGCGTCTATAGTTTTGAAATGGACTGTAGTTCGCATGCGCTGATCCCAAACCGCGGGAATCTCCAAGTTTCAACCACCTCTGAAGCTTGGAGAGCTTGCAGAGCTTTGGAGAGCCTCCTAAAATTCGGAGAGGATATAAGAACAGCTCTCGAACTTTTCGGAGAGTCTCCAACTTTTCCGAGAGGATTTAAGAACGCACCCTTAGTCATAACTCGTAACATTTTGTCCTCCTTTTTTTCACCAAAAGAAGAATATATAATAATAATAACATGTCATCATGTTTTTTTGAATAGTAATCTGGGTTATGCCGCCTGATGAGTGTTTTCAGACACGGGGAACTCCAAGTAACGGCAAGAGAGAACCTGATTGCACTGTTGCTGTTTGTGAATTGTGTTTCTGGCTCTGTCCACTGGACATAGAGCACTCTACACAGCCTGAGGATCTTAGACAACGGTCTTAGCCTGAGGATCTTAGACAACGGTCTATCATAATATTAGATGGTTGCCTTAGCCTAGCTGATCCCAGTATGTTCATCTCAGCTTGTCTTGTGCTGTCTTGTGCTGTCTTGTGCTGTCTTGTGCTGTCTTGTGCTGTCTTTTGCTGTCTTGTGCTGTCTTGTGCTGTCTTGTGCTGTCTTGTGCTGTTGTCTTGTGCTCCATACAGACACAGTTATTTGGCTCAAGTACAATTCGCTTCCCGGACGAGCCGCTCACCCTGGGCACGCTGTTTGAGTGGCTGCAGGACGATGGCAAGACCTGGGTAAAGCGTGTTGTGGTCAGCAAGGCGTCAGGATGATCTGTGATTGCCCCAGATCTACCCTAGTACCCTAGCGCATTGTGATTTCTTCACTCTGCCCTGTCTTACTCATTGTCCTGAGGACTTTTATGACTTTCCCTTACCCGGACCGGAGTGTTGAGTGAGTTGTATTCCGCCGCTCCTTTCGGTGTGTGCGTGTGTGTGTGTGTATGTGTGTGTGTATGTGTGTGTGCGTGCGAGTGTGTACACATGTGCGGGCACGTGTAGTAATTTAGTATCAAGTAGTACAGGTTCAATTTACACTTGTCCACTAGTCGTCTAGACCACACTCAATTTGCTTCTCTCTCTCTCAACCATACAGAGTATACATTTGACCCATTACACCTACTGTTCCTTTTCTAACTGCATTATCGAAGACTTACTCCATCCGCCTTTTATAGACCGAATATGTTACTCGTACCGTCGACCTCTGCTCCGGTTCCCGCCAATCCCCGACCTTGCTTTTCTCTCCGCTACTTTCTCATCTTGCCTGTGAGCACTGCGTGTCTTGTCTCCGTGCTCTAGCCACAGGTTCATGCCGTGCTGGCTGTCTCATACAGTTTCTAGTGCCGTGGTTGGCTATAAAACCCCTGCAATCGCCACGCAAAGTGCTCATTGACTACCCCAGCCATGTATTGCTTGGAAAAAATAGATAAATAAATAGTGATGCCGGCGCTGCTTCGTTGTTTGGTTATCTAGATTAGATATTTGGATTCTGTCTTCTGATTTCCACCATGAATTGCTGTCCGAATTGCCACAGCTATACTAGTGCAATGTACATACTAGTGGTACGTTTTTGATCTATGATCCACTGACAGGCGCTACTTGTACTTGAAGGCGTTTGGTGCATGGAGTGAGTGGCTGTGCCAGTGAATTTACATGTGTGTGTGTGTGTGTGTGTGTGTGTGTGTGTGTGTGTGTGTGTGTGTGTTTGCGCTCGCGTGTGCGTGCGTCACTGTGTGTGTGTGTGTGTGTGTGTGCTCGTGCACACGTGTGTGCTCGCGCACACGTGTGTGTGTGTACATGTATCCACGTGTACACATGGAGGTGTATGTTTATGTGCCCATGCGCGCGTGTGTTTTTGTGTACACTGTCTGTGCACACATTCTCGTTTGTATGGAGTGTGTGGCCATGCAGGCCAGACTTGCACGGAGTTGCCTTGTGTGTCTGCAATGCCCTGTGTGTCTGCAATGCCCTGTGCACTTCTACCAACTCTCCACTCCATGATATCACTGGAAAGACTGTAACACATTTGCTGTCACAGCCTGTACAACGCTGCCCAAGAACACTGGCTTGAGCTGCTCTTGCACAGCCTCCGGCCAGGTGTCCTTGGTGTAGCAGTCGAAAACCTAAACCCCCTTATATGTTGAACCAGGCATTTGTCAGAACAGTGCAGCTTGAACCAGGGAGTGCCAAAGTTAAGAACAAAGTGTACTTTTTTTATGCTAATGCATGTAGACTCTACCAGTACCCGGTACATGCATTTCTATGTATATCCCTGCCCCTGGTCTGAACCAGTACCAGGATACTAGTACCGGTACCACCCTGCATTCTCCTGGTACAGTCAACTTCGCTAATAACAACTCCGGATATAACGACAATTCGCGAATAACGACATAATTTTCATGCCCTGAGCAAAGTCCCATCCAACTGTGCACGTGACACATATAATGGGACTTCGGGTATAACGACACTTCGCGAATAAGGACACTTGTCTGATGCCCCGCCGAGTGTCGTTATAAGCGAAGTTGACTGTATACAACAATTTTACAATAATGTGCATCATCAAGAGTACTCTTGACATCATTACATGATTCATGTGGACGTGGATTGTGCATTGCATTGTGCAATCAACCAACTGTGTGACTGTGTCTAGTTTATGACGTGTAGCTAGATCTACCATGGTACGCGGTGTACATGTGTCTGCACGATACATGCATGGACAGTTGTGGGCACGCAGTGTGGATATCTGGGTCTCTTTTGTCTTCTTCTTTCTGCTTTGTCTTCCTGGCCTGGGACTCGACTGGGACTGCATACTGACTGCGAGTCTGGCCTGATCTGGGTCACGAATCACGACCACAATGCACACTGACCTGTATAGTGGCGCCATGCGCATAATTTTTATGGCACTGTACATCTGGTACATATCAGTCGACAGTCGAGTCGACACGACGGCTAGTCGACACGTCACACGTGCACACTGGTGCACGTGGCACATATCTCAGCGACGTGATCGTGACATGACAGATTCCCGCGCCCGGAATAGTGATGGGGATTTCCCGACGTGGAAATCTGTAGGTGCAATTTCTGAGTGGTAGAAGAGCTGCGCAATGTTCGTATAGCTGCGGAAGAGCGCCCTATGTTCTGATGTCTTCGCGAATATACCAGAAATAATTGGCACACGAGTGCGAGTATGTGATGCATCTTTGGTTGCGCCAACAATACGTTGGACAACAACGTCGGTTCAACGCGTTCACAAAGGTGAAAAGGAAGGAGTCTTGGCCGAAGTGGGCCTTTGGAGTTTGGATGTGTGAGCTTCGTTTGATTCGAGACGTGTAGGAATAGTATGGAAAATGGAGCTGCAGTTGGTGGACCTCTGTCTTCTCAGGTATTATCATGATCAAACATTCAACACTCCTCACTGTGTACATGTGTGTGCATGTGTGTGGTGGTGTGTGTGTGTATAATACAGTAATGTGCGTGGGTGCGTGTGTGAGTGTTCTGCTTCTGTCCGTGCACACAATGCCCCCAAGAGAGACATAGCTCTCTGAGCTCTCTCAACAGACTCCGTCAAATACCTAACTTGTGTGCGTGTGTTGTACTGCTTAGGGCCCCTGCTGCTCAGTCACAGTGACATAATAATGCCCCCCCCCCCCCCGCGAGATGTAGCGTGGTAGGACAATATGCTATCCAGCACACTTGGTGACAATCATACAGATGTGAAGAGCGTCTGGCTGTACAGTCATATACATCATACAGATGTAGCTGTGAAGATCATCTGGCTGTAGCAGTGAATGTCCCCTACAGCACCCACTCAGCCAGCTTTCAGGCCAGTTCTACAAGCGTATCCACAGGGTATGGACATAATCCGTGCACACATGTGAACTGTGTGTGTGTGTGTGTGTGTGTGTGTGTGTGCCAGAAAAAGTCACTTCAAATAGCTGTATGGTGTAGACCAGGCTGAATAGTGACGGTCAATTCTTCAGCCTTGCAAGCTGTTGAATAGTGCAATCCCAGCACAAGTTGCTATGGCTTCTGCCGTAGCATCGATGGCGTCAAAAGGTCAAAGGTCAAGGTGTGTGTGTGGTGCGTGCGTGTGTGTGTGTGGTGTGTGTGTATGTATGTATGCATACTGTGTGTGTGTGTACGTGTGTGTACATGCCGTGTGTATGTGTACATGCCGTGTGTATGTGTACATGCCGTGTGTATGTGGACATGCATGCACACTTGTATTACACATGCAGGCCATTTCAGCGCCATTGCGCAGCAAGTCTCCCGAATTCTCCAGCTCGCCGCCCAACAAGCTGCACCGTTCGTCATCGTCCGGTAGCTTGTCCACTTCCCCGCAGCAACACGGACATGTAGGCATTGGTGGTGGCGGTGTTGGGGGTGAGCATGTCACATCGCCACACAGCGCAGCTTCCTCTCCACCGTCACCATTGTCATCGCTACACTCGCAGCATGTATCGTATCGCCGCACGTCCAGTCTTCCCGGTGACAAGGTTGTACCGCTGACTGAAGCCGATGCTGCTGCCATTCCCGTTGCTGCCACGACTACGGCTGCGCAAGCGGCGGCGGCGGCAGGAGCAGTGGCAGCGATTTCGTCGGCTGGTAACGCTCAACACCGGCAGCTGGAGTATGGCACGGCTCTCCCTCACGGCCAGAACCAGTTGGAGGAGTTCCAAGGTTAGTAACGATACCGGCATTCACTATACTGTCCTGTATGCCATGCTGGGCTTCTGCCGGGCTTCTGCCGGGCTTCTGCCGGGCTTCTGCCGGGCTTCTGCTGGGCTCCTTGCTCTAGTGCCATGCTACGGCTGCTGTTCTTGTTGGCTTTGGGTTGTAAAAAGTTATAAGAAACAAACGAGAGAGCTTGGAAGCTCAGGGCCCTACGCTATGTTTTTTTGCCTTGATGACCTAGACGAAAAAAAGCATAGGGATGTTATAAATTCTTATAAATTTCTACTTTTTGTTTTTAGACATAACCTGGGATTCGAACCCGCACTATCGCCCTGCATGCATCCCCCGATACACTTCGCATACATACTAATTCTTCCAAGTTGCTTCACGTTATGATCTTGTATTTGAAAGCCCTATTTGAATATGCATTGTGGCCAGCAGTCTTTGATTGTACGGTACGGGACAGGTACGGGACAGGGTAATACGACACCATCTACCGCCTTGATGACGGCAAAAAAAGAATAGGGATGTTATAAAATTTTCAATTTTCCTATTTTTTTTTCAGACATTTAATACCTGGGATTCGAACCCGCACTATCGCCGTACATGCATTCCCCATACACTTCGCATTCATACTCATTCTTCCAAGTTGCTTCACGTTATGATCTTGCGTTTGAAAGCCCTATTTGAATATTGCCGCCAGCTGTACGTGGCCAGCTGTGTTTGATGGTACGGTACGGTACAGGACAGATACGGGATAGTGCCAGGCGTGACACAAACAAACAAACAAACACACAAATACCAAATTAAAGCTGTGTGGACCCTGGCTAGCGCCAGACGTTACTGAAGTAACGTCTTCTGCATAGCTACGGGAATAAAGTACAAGTATGATGTGATATTGATTGTAAAATGAAGGTATCTTCACTGTGACCACAGTCAGCCGGACTTCTTACTCCGCTTTCCCACATTAGTTTCACATGTTTGCTTCTGCTCGTACTACTTGAATGTTGCACAATTCATCGGGCCTGCACACCGCTCAACGTCCTTCTGAATATTTTGCCGATGCATGGTCATCGCTAGTAAGGAGACGTGTGCTCTTCGGCGAGTGGTTTAGGTTTACATCTCGGTTTGATACGCTTCTTCTGTATTATGTGCTTTGTGCTTTGGTGCTTTGGTGTATGGCAGAGTATTTGCGTCACTTGCAGAAGTTGCAGAGGCAATGGAAGGTAGGTGAAGACTGTGCTGTAGAAACCACCCGGCAGGCTCCCCTGCCCCCGGCAACACAAGTAGAGTAGCAGGGTTGGTTAATAGAGCATGGCCTCCGGACAAACTAGTCGGCCACCGGTGTAGGTGTACCGCTGTGCTGCTAAGTACAGAGTAGGTTGTGTATACATGTACTACAGGTACAGTCTAACATGTTTTTCGATTTTGACAGCATGTTACAAGGCGAGGACGCGTAGTGCTCCTGACTACAACCATAACCCGGTTAACATGCTGTCAAAATCGAAAAACATGTTAAACTACCAAGCAAGGCTTCTGTGTATATACCATGTACAGTCTAGTATTATATAACCTAATACTAGTACAAAAGTACTATTAGATAAACCTCAAGTGGTCCGCATGGACCGGGGCTCTGCCAACCGCGGAAGGTTGTAGTAAGGTCACTGTTTCCGAACACAGTGTCCTCCACCTTGTTTCATGCTGTCAATCTAACAATATGTACAGTCTAGTACCCACAATCTCGTACACGGTGTTCACGTGCATGTACGTGTACGAAGGATTGTTTCCCCAACCATGGGTTACTCCGGTATTTTCTACTGAAGTAGCATCAATACAGTTGCTGTACATGTGCGGGTGCGTAGAGTGCCTTGCTTGCTTGGGTCTCTGTTCTTGTGTATATGACTGCAGTTGCTTGTGTACGTACGTGTGGAGAGGAGAGGAATAGCATTCTCGATATGTCCCTCGACCAGTTCTTCTTCTCTTTGTTTGTTTGCCTTGCAGAAACTTGTACTGCGCGACCCGGCCTTGCAGAGACTTGATGGCGGAGCTGCAGAGAGACTGCGCATGCAGTTCATGCATGACCTCGTCCTCGGCCGTTCGGTAAGCTTAGATGCTGCGCTGCTGCGTCAGTACACTCTCTTGTGATTGCAATGCACATTGCACTTTCTTGCTCACTGTGTCCTCTTCTGTTTGTTTAAGTCGGCGCCATTCTGTTTCACGATCCTGTATGGGCAGTCATATGTAATTATGCTGTGACACTTATCACCTGACTTGAATCACCAAGATTTAGAGGTTCTGCTATTACATCATCAGTGGAGAGTGTGTATGGTGTGGCATCACAGGCACTTGTTTGTCACTGATTTCATTCACTGGCTTGCCACATATAATCTGTGATCACTTTGTACTTTCAAAAACTCTTGATATTGGTGCTCTGTGACCTCATTCTCATACAAGGAATATCAAAGAGGTGCAAGTATATAGAAACCTAACAACAAGCGTGCAATGCACTGCGACAACAATAGACAGCCAATGAGCACAACTTACGAGGTGTTGACCACCTACCTAACAATGGACGAAACAGCATGCTGTCCGCAGATCGAGTACGCAACAGACTAGGTGTGATTTTAATCTACCTCTTCTTGCATGGGTTAGGTTACTGTGCATGCTTCTAAACATTCAACGACTTAGCACTACCGTTGTTGATTCTGGCAACTTTTTTTGCGCTGTTCTGTCACCTCTCTGCTCTACTAAATTCATTGTCCTCGCTCATTCTCTTTTTGCCTTGATTCAATCTGATGAGGCGGCATTGAAACTTGAATGTACCCGTGGAATATTTTTTTGGAACTGTTGCTTGTGCAGAGCCTGACGTTTGTTGTTTTTTCCTTGTTCCTGTTCGTGTATTGTTTGTTCAGACTGGTCCGACTGGTCCAATGCCCCCTGCTGTTGACTCCCAGCTCCAGTTTCCATTCCCGTTCTGGTTAGTGCTAATAGTGAACCGTATGAGTACAGGTGGAATCCTGATAATTCGAACCTCCAAATGCCAGGAAAAAACTTCTAATTATCCGGACATTCTAATTATCCAAACATGGACCCACAACACGATATGCATGTCAAAATGCTCTCATGATCACGCAGAGTTGCGCTATGGACCTTAGACACAGATTTCACGGATACTGAACTGACTGGCACAGCCTGTTCATGCAAACTGAACTGACCAGTACAGTGTAGAGTGAGCTTCGAATTACACTTTGCGAACTTCGAATTATCAGCACAAATCCCACACATTTTCGATGTAAGTGGAATTCGTGGGACTTCTAATTAACCGAACATGTCCAGTTCGAGGTTCGAATTATCAGAAAATTTATGTGGGAATCGTATGGATAGAAATCGGTCCTGGAAAAACTTCTAATTAAGCGGTATGTTCCACCTGTACATGTACGATATTTCCTCACAGAATATGATCTGCTGGTTCATGGTATGGAACTGCATTTGGATAATTAGACGGTCTGGATAATGCTGGGGCCTGGCAAATTGAGGTGGGAATTAACGAAAGTCTTTTCATGGGAATAGCAAAGCATTGTTACAGCGTGCACGACATGTAAGAGGCTCTCAGCAGGGGATTGCTACTAATTTGTTACTGGCTTTTCTTTTCTCGTGTCAGAGTAATAATTGTTGTTTTTGTTAGTATTGGGCGCCCTTTTTAGGCTATCATCGCCATCGACAATGGACATGTTCAAGGTTCAAGGCCTGCACTTTTTCTGGAAATTCATGCACTGAATCTCCACACGATGTTTTATGGAAATATTTTATTTTCACCATCTGTCCGCAGTTTTCATGTTTGTTTCTGTAGTCAGGTTCCTAGCTAAACTTTTTCGTTTCGTGAAAATTATTGATCATGCCGGATAGCCCATGAGTTCAAAATCATCCATTGAGTGACAGTCACCGTGTGTGTGTTTCTTGTTTCTTGTTTGTGTTGTGCACAGGATGACTGTGCCACGCTCGCTTCACACACCCTCACCGTCAATGTACTCACAGGCACGCTTCGCCAACGACTTTGTCCGCATCTCCTCCATCGGACGTGGCGGCTTCGGCAAGGTCTATCACGTAGGTGCTGCTCATGGTGTGTGTGCGTGTGCGTGCGTGTGTGTATCAATATGTGTGTGTAGTGTGTGTGTGTGTGTGTGTGTGTGTGTGTGTATGTTTGTGTGTATGTACGTTTGTGTGTGTGTGTGTGTGTGTGTACATTTGTGTGTGTGTGTGTGTGTGTGTGTGTGTGTGTGTGTGTGTGTGTGTGTGTGTGTGTGTGTGTGTCCCATATGGTGCAGTGGTATGTGCAGCGATTTCCAATCGATAGATTGCGGGTTCGATTCCCGACAATTATGGTCACACACGTCTTTCTTCTCTTTCTCAGACTCTTCCTGACTTTTCTTTCATTCTCCTGGGTGGTTACCAACAGCCAGTGCATGCCGGAGTATGTGGTGTGATGTGTGTGCGGGGAAAAAAAAAAAAATGAAAAGACCAAAAATAGGGATTCACTGGCCAGAAAATGTCACTCCAAATAGCTGTATGGTGTAGACCAGGCTGAATAGTGACGGTCAATTCTTCAGCCTTGCAAGCTGTTGAATGGTGTAATCCCAGCACAAGTTGCTATGGCTTCTGCCGTAGCATTGCTATCATCGCCTCCGGCGATGGGCGTCAAAGGTCAAGGTCAAGGTGTGTGTGTGTGTGTGTGTGTGTGTGTGTGTGTGTGTGTGTGTGTGTGTGTGTGTGTGTGTGTGTGTATGTGTGTGTGTGTGTGTGTGTGCATCGCACATTGTCATAGTATATACATGTATGTGACTGTGTGCATGGCAAGCTGTGTCGAACAGTGCTGTGTTGCTGTGTGTGTGTGTGTATGTGTGTGTGTGTGTGTGTGTGTGTGTGTGTGTGTGTGTGTGTGTGTGTGTGTGTGTGTGTGTATGCGCAGGCACAGAACAGGGTCGACCACCATCACTACGCTGTCAAACGTGTGAAGCTCAAGCACGTGGACAAGGAGAAGTGCATGAAGGTCAGTGACACGCTCTGCATGCTTTCTTACAGCCATGCATATTTACTTGATACTCTACTATACTGTCATTGCGTCGTGACTCGTGATGCTGTGTGTTTGAAAAAGGGTTTGATAGCATTCGTTTTGATTCGTGGAGATTGAGCAGCGACGATGGGGAAGAAGACTCAGTTGTGTCAGGAAATGAGAGATTTTACTGTGAAGCTGGCTGGAGACGGGTTCTCAGCTCGATATATTGCTGGAAAACTTGGAATTAGCAAGAGCGCAGCCTGTGCGATTATCGCAAGAAATAAATCTTGTGGTACGACAGTTGTCAAGCCTCGCTCTGGTCGTCCACATAAGCTCAGTGAGCGTGTGCAGCGGCATCTCAAGGTCCTGTCACTGGCCAGGACTCGAAATCATTACTGTAATCTTGGTCAAATGGTAACACTGAGTTGTTGCTGCTGCTGCTGTTACTGTCACCACTATCTCTGTTTCCAGGCAATGAGAGAAGTTGAAGCAATTGCATCGTTGGACCACCCGAACATTGTCCGCTACTATTCTGCATGGCTGGAACTGGAGACGTCAGGAGCATCCCCATCTCCTCCAGCACCAGCAGGTACACACACACACACACACGCACGCACGTACTGCAGTCAACATGGTCACCTGCTTCTGTTCTCGCTGGCCATGCTTCGTTGAGGAACAGCGCATGCTGTGTACACGCCTGTTCAGTATGCAGCTGTGTAGTATTATTAGTATGGGTGTGCCGCATACTTCAATGCATGCAGTGGATAATGGAAATCGTAGTGGAGTCAAAGTCTCCATCGTACGTCGGCTATTGATCCTCGACTGCCGTTTTTACCTTTTAGTCAGCTGATGATTGCCGATCCGACCTAAAACTCTGAACCTTGACGTCGTCTCAGTCTTCATTGTAATCATCTATGCGTCACCGCTCTGCCCTCGGTATTGAGCACTTTGGTCTTTGTGATCCTCAACTATGTACAGATTTCAGATAGGTTGTGGTAGCAGTCAAGAAGATTTGGAATTTGGCGGACGCAATTTTTCCTTTTTTCCCAAAACAAATGGCCAACTTTTCCCTTTCTCTTTGTGTTTGGCTGTGTCTCGTGCTGTGTGTGCGCTCGTGTGTGTGTGTGTGTGCGTGCGTGCGCGCGCGTGTGTATGTGTGTGTGTTTGGCTGTGTCTCATGCTATGTGTGTTGTGTTTATCATATTCCCCTGTACACTCTTGTCCTTACTCTCCAGGTGCCGGCGGTGCACTAGCCATTCTGCCTGCAGCAGCAGCAGCAGCAGCAGAAACAGGAACATTCTGTCCCGTCATGTCCAGGTAAGGTGACTAGGTGTGGTCATTTGGTCATCTGGTACATATGTGCAGTAGATCCACATACTAGTGCGGAGGCTGTAGTCCATTCTCTTGTGTGTGTGTGTGTGTGTGTGCGTGCGTGCGTGTGTGTGTGTGTGTGTGTGTGTGTGTGTGTGCGTGCGCGCGTGTGGGTGTGGGTGTGACAGACAGACATACAGACACAGAGAGACAGACAGAAAGGGCCTGTGTGTATATAGTACCATATTGATAGGCTGTTTGTACTGCTCCTCACAATACTCTGTGTGTGTGTGTGTGTGTGTGTGTGTGTGTGTGTGTGTGTATGCTTTTCTATTTCATTCTGTGCCGCCGTGTCCAGTGGAGAAGTGTCTAGTGCAAGTGGACTGTGTTCAACGTATGATGATTCTCGCCGTCAGGAATTCGCCACAGGCTACGGTGCGCCAAGCTGGCCAGGGCAGCAGGAGCACCACCGTACGTTTAACTACCCCACATCCCACCACCACCACCACGCTCAGCCTGGCAGTAGCAGCAGTGGCTTTGAGCGTGTTTCGTCTGGCATGGTCAATATCCCGGCCAAGGGTGGACTGGAGTCGACCGATTCACTCGACATTCAGTTCCTCGCGGAGAGCGGTGGTTCGGCCAACTCCATCTCCTCGCTGTCTAGTGGTACCAGCTCTTCTGATAGTGTTACGTGTAGACTCAGTGAAGCAGACGACCGTGCCAGGAGCAGCGGCAGTTCAACATCGTCATCATCGTCGTCGTCGTTGTTGTCGTCAACGCAGCATAGCGACTGCGGAGGCTATCAGTCTGATGAAGAGGATACGGACTATGACGTTCATGGCGAGGGCGCACACAATGACGCCGTCCTCATGGCGGGTGGTATGCTCGGTTCGTCGCCCGAACGCCGCGGAGAGATCGTGCTCAGCACGCGCAGCAGTCGGAGGCGCAACTCTCGACTCCAGTCCGCCAATGCAGGTCCCGCTCTGGCCAGCGCTATGCTGCCGTATCGCATTGCAGCAGGCGCTGCTGCTGGTACTGCTGCTGGTGCTACTGCGGTGGATGCTGTCATGGTGCCGGACGCAGTTGTTGATGCCGGTGATGTTGTCAACTTTGCGCTGGGCTCTTCAGAGGACACTGGATCTGAAATGGTAAGTGCAGTATGCTGTGTTTTATGTCAGCCTGTCCTGTCCTGTACAGTTGCGTGCACTTTAATAACCATGTGGAAAGTCTGCACGGTGCCCGAGTCAAGCCAGCTAGAAGCGCCACGGGTATATTGTGCCTCCAACCCCCTGGAAATGTGATTGGCCTTGCATCAGTGTTGGTATATTGTATGCCTAAGCAATAAACTACAGACTAGTGAGGGTATGATTGGCTGGTTTGGCCTTTGGTTTGTATGACCATTGCATTCGGGTATGGGTCCAGAAACCCTCTCCATGCTGCAGCTCACACCACCCATATCCTAACCCACACCCCAGCCCATTGTCCACCCCAGCCCATGCCCCAGCCCATTGTCCACCCTAAGCCCATGCCCCAGCCCATACCCCAGATCAGCTATGCCCTGTCATGCTACTGCTGTGTGTATTCACTGGCACTCTGTAGACATAGTTACATGATGTATGCCTGATGTACATCATCTCCACAATGCGCTCTCGGTATTGTCCTCGCTACGGTGGTGATGTGTAGGTGGAGTGGATCGGTCGAGAGAGCATTGTGGAGCGGTGGTGTGACTGATGCTTGCGTAATGGCCGAATTTGTCGTGAATTTCTCTTGTTTTTGTCGTTTTTCGTTTTCTGACTCCAGACCACCGATACATCAGACCAGCAGCAGCAGCAGCAGCATCAACAGCAATACGTTGTCCTCTACATCCAGATGCAGCTATGTCAGCTCAACTTGCTCAATTGGCTATGCCAACGTAACAGCATTGTCAGTTCCAGCGGAGGTGAGTGTGACATCACATCGTGATGATCACGATCACGATGATTGTGGTAATTGAAGTCCTGTGCTCACACTATTCCCACACACACACATGTAGAATAGCAAGTGATAGCAACTAGGGTGGGTGACAACGTCACACTTGAGACCCCAGCGGCGCCGAAGCGATGTGCGTCCGACCCCAGAGTGGAAGTTCTTCGCGATCCGCGGTCTAAATGCTGTATTGTTCACTTGACGTAATTGTGATCAGTTCTGCCCGTCACTCTGAGCTCTACTGATGAGCACTGACAAGATCTAAACAGCCAGCTGTCCGGAGATTGGCCGTTGGTCTGTACTGTTCAAAGGAAAATAGCTGTCTTGTAGTGCAAACTTAGCTTGGGCTTTTCATGCTTCCATCTAGCCAGGATGCCTGTGTGAACTTCATTCTCTCCTTTGACGTTCGTTGTCATGTTCTGCTGTGCTTCTAGGCATTCGCGTGGACGAAGCGGAAAGCTGGCGTCTGTTCATGGAGATTCTCGAGGGCGTCAACCACATACACAGCCATGGTCTAATGCATCGGGACCTCAAGGTAAGCCAAGTGTCCAGCATCATCTCTTGCTGAATTGCTTTGAGACGTGGCAGGCATGATGTTGATTGCAACAGTCTGATTCCTGGCTTCCAGAGAGGTGACTGTTCTTGTACTAATCCACTCCATGCTCCGGCGGATCTATGACGACTTGAGAACTCGTTTTCTAATTGTCGGGATTCTACTTTTCCCATTTCAACTCCCGCAAACTTACGAATATTCGACTTCAAAGTAAATATTTGTGCTGATCTGTGACTTAGGTGTTTGGCGGCTGTCGATGCTGGCAACTACACTGCAGTACTTTTAGAGGAGTAGAATTGGTTCCTGCCTGCCTGTGTGCGGTGCAGCGGACCGTCAGAATGGCGAGTCTGCAGCTTTGCTTTAGCGGCGGGAATGTGCGATGCGTGCGTTTGTTGTTGCTATTCAAAAGAGCAGGAGACTCTGTACACGCTGATGAAGTGCATGCAAACCTGTAGGACGAAACGATCGCCGTCCCACTGTTTAGTCTCTTGAAAGTACCCATTCTGTCCTGAAAATGTGTACGGATCATATCACAGTGACTGACATTGTGCATGCACTCTAACGTTGTTGTCTTTTCCCACCACCACTGCGTAGCCTGCCAATGTGTTCCTGTACGGCGCCAAGTGCACGGCGAAGATCGGAGACTTTGGCCTGGCGCGCGAGGACGTTGTGCTGAGCGACTCCGACAACGACATCGTAATGACGCCGCTGGAAGAGCTCAACAGGCCACTGACGACGACGGCCACACCGGGGGGTGCCAGTTTGCGCGGCGGCCTTGCCGGTAGTCACGGTGGTATGCACAGCCAGCCGACGTGTGGCGTTGGCACTAGCTCGTACGCTTCACCGGAGCAGCTAGAGGGCAGGTCGTACGACAGTAAGGTGAGCGTTTGTGCTGCACGTGTTGGCTCTCCCGCCGGCAAGTGTCGGACTGTATATTTACTACTGTTGTGGACATTGACATCCGGTGGAATGACCGGGGCCGACGCTCTTTCTGCGTACATGCACTGTAGTTCACACATACACATTGTATAAACATGGACTAGCAGTGCTCGCGGCTGCAAGGCCAGCGCCCCGTGGTCGCTTGATTTCCCAACGGACTTCAATGTCCACAACCGTATAATACGAGCAGCATGTTTCGCAATTGCCAACTTCGACAATGTTTCCCTTGTGTCTTGACAGCTGTAAACCTTAGTAGAACTGCAGTACAAACTGTTTTCTTTGCCAGCGGATGTAATCATTCACAGACTAGATGTTCTGCTTGACTGCTACACCTGCCGGTCTCCACTGGTTTTTCCACCAAAACTCATCAGTGTGTGTGTGTGTGTGTGTGTGTGCGTGCGTGTGTGTGTGTGTGCGTGTGTGTGTGTGTTCAGTCCGACATGTTCAGCCTGGGATTGATACTGATGGAGCTGTTCACGCCGTTCACCACCGCCATGGAGCGCGCCAGCTGTATGCGAGACGCTCGCAACGGGAAACTCCCCGTTGGCCTCCTGTCCAGATTTCCCAAACAGGTGCGTACTCTCAGTTTCTGTCAGGCAGGCACACCACTGGTGTTGTTTGTAGCCTTTGCTCATGTCTTGCAGGTTTTACAGGTCTTGCAGGTCTTACAGGTCTTGCTGGTCTTACAGGTCTTGCTGGTCTTACAGGTCTTGCAGGTCTTACAGGTCTTGCAGGTCTTACAGGTCTTGCAGGTTTTGCAGGTCTTGCAGGTCTTACAGGTCGGCTGCTAGTATGTATTGTGGGTTTTGCTTCGATTGTCAGTGTATTTCGTATTAAATTAATCCATTGGTGAACTGATGGGAAATCACATTGTTACGTGTACACTGTACACAGTACACTGCTGGCAAAACTGAAATCCGATCCCCTGAGCGGTGCGTTCACATTCTAGCGGTCACTGTTTCGTAGTGTTACAATCCCGTGTCGGGTCGTGGCGATGTGAGCGCACCGCTCAGGGGTCGAATTTCAGTTGTCAGCACTGTACTTTGAAGTACATGTACCCTACTATCGTTCCTATAGAAGCCGTTGTCAGCGCTAAGTCTCTATTCCAATCAGGCTTCTACTCAAACATGGTATTTCTCCGTCCGCCGACGCTATTAAAACCAGACTTATGTGCCGACAATGCATCTTGAAAAATCAGGCTTGTATTCAAAACCGGCTTCTACACGAGACAGTCTTTTAACCAAGACAGTATGGTACATGTATCTTTTGTATTCTTTTTCGTTCTTTGGCCCCCAACTGTACTGTATGTTTGCATGCAGAGAAAAAAGTGAGAGCCCTCTTTTGGACCATCAACCCCTTTCTTTTACACTTTTTATCGTTGTGCTGGCATAATATGTAAGCTTCCTATAACCTGTGGAATCCCAATTTCAAGTAGAAGATTGAGAGCACCCTTTTACTCACTCACATAATTATATGTGTGTGCGTGTGTGTGTGTGTGTGTGTGTGTGTGTGTGTGTGTGCGCGTGTGTGTGTGCATGTGTACGTATGTGTGTGTACGTGTATGTACGGTTGTATATGCGTCTGTGTGTGTGCCACTGCAGGCCAGGCTTGTTCGTCAGCTGTTGTCGCATGAGCCTCGCGACCGACCTGACTCGCACACCCTACTGAAGAGCATCAAACAAGTACAGAGCGATAGGTCCATGATTGAGGTATGTTGCTTGCCTTCCCATCCCTTCCCATATGTGTACATATCATGCATGCTGAACTTAGGTTGACATTTTTAGGGTGGTGCACGTGCTCCATGCGGGCCGCGCGCCTGCTTACCCCGATCCAGTAAGCGTGCAGTGGTGGACAGGTTTAGAATAGTGTTCCAGTAGCGGTTGATAGAATGGTTAAGAACAGGTTTATAATAATGCTCCCCATAGCGGTTGATAGAATGGATAATAGACACCCTTAGCAAAAAAACGTAACGTTCTAACGGTATTACCGTAAGGGGGGAAATACCGTGATTTGGGTTCGGCCTTTAGCAAGATGCACGCTATTTATAGTACGCTGTTGCCACGAGAATAGCTTTTATGTCGCGCGGTACAACCATTTATGTCACCATATACGCGATACAAGGTGAAATGCGTACGGACTATGCGATATTTGGCCAAAACACGTATCGTTGCTCACAACGATAAATAAGCCCCCATAACGTTTTTACGCTGCACTGCAGCTTCAACGCTATTTGGGTGATCAAGGTACGAGTACCGTAAAAAAAAATAGCGTTACCGTTGTTTGCTAAGGGTGTCTATTAATGGGCTCTCTCTCTTCTCTGGTGTTGCTCAGCTCCAGCTGCAGGTTATTGCAAAAGACAAAGAAATCAAGAATCTCACAAGCAAGCTGGAGCAGATGTCCCGAGAGCTGAAGGAGCGAGATGAGACTATTGCCTCTCTGAGAGCCGGCATCAAGCACTGACGTGTGTTGTACCAGCACGCCTTGAAGTTAAACTGATCCGCTCCCATTGCTAGATAGCCTGAAGCAGAAATACCTTTTGTCAATCATCTTGAAGGAAGACATGACATTTCACTGTGTCGTACGTGCATACGCGTGGCACATGTCTAGTTGAGGTCAACACAGTATATTTACACTCTATTTTATCCCGGCGTATTGAGCAGGAGTGGACATTCTCTTGAGACTTGTGACTTGTGGGTTATAGCCCGCTCTTGATGGGTGCTCCCACACACACCAAAGCTACATTATCGCCGTATCCCCGTCCCCGCGGCAAACTACCTTGAAATTTATCACCCCACCCCACACTTTTATATACTATTTCCCTCGCAAAAATCTCATGAAATTCTCTGGTCTTGGTTTCTATTCCTGGTTTTATTCTCATTTAGGGGTTGATCTTTCAACCATGGTTTCTCTACTCTCTTGTTTCCGGCTTTGACAGTCTTACTTTTTTTCTTTCTTTTTGCAGCAGTATTGTTCCTTACGGCAATGTTTTGTCTAGTTTTTACTCTTGTTGTTTCAAATCTTTATTCTCACGATTGTTGTTGCTGTTGTTGTTGTTGTTGTTGTTGTTGTTGTTGTTGTCGCCGTTGTCGTTGTGTGCGCCCTGTTTTCTTGCTGCTGGCTTGCAAGCTAACTTCAACACGTGTATACGTGCATTCCCTGCTACATGCTGACTTTCCGTTTGAACTCCTTTATACCGTTTACAGTGTACTAATGTTCTTACCATACTGTTCGTGCCACTGTTTCTTCTAGCTGTTGCATGTGGCTAGTAGTAGTACTTGCATGTGGGAAGCCCTCGCTAGGAGCTATGGGTGGCCATGGTAGCTGTGTGCCGTGTGTGGCGACACGGTAACCATGGCAGTCTACCATCAGATAACCATGTTGTCAAGCACAAGACTCAAGAGTGCATCGCCTTATGTTATGTGAGCCGTGATCTAAATATCTTGTTCAGGCGCGTGCTCAGCGATGGGCACGGGGGGCACGTGCACCCCCCAACAATTTTCAATCTGATCCAAGGCAATTGTAATGTATGCAAATATGCTCTAAAATTCAAGAAAGGTTGCAAACAAATTGCAGAAAATTGCCGGGGGGGGGACTCCCCTCGGCTCCCGTGCACCCCCCTAGTTGGGGGGCCGAGCACGCCCCTGTTGTTAGTACCGGTACCGTACTACGACTAGAGTCATTTCACTCACTTTTTGTGATACATGTAGTGCTGCTGATCGACAAGTGAAATTTGTCCATCGTGTGAGTCAGTGACTGTCCCAGCCAGTTTTCTTTCCCCGAAGCAACCTCGGCATGCCCAGTGCATGTACATGTACCTATGTTATGGGGGCTAGCCGGGCTGCCCTGCTTGTCCAGTACACTATCGGAGTTAGCCCTGTAATGGCTGTGTGTCCCCAGTTGTGGCTCTGCAAGCAGTCTGTGCTCTTTCAAGCAGTCAAGTAACTAAGTTTAGTAGTGAATACAGTGGGTTCTGCCTTTCGCTGAGAGACCACCATACTTTAATTCTGTGTGTACTGTGTGACGCGGGGCTACTGTGTGTAATGCGTTCGTGTGATCATCGACATGGTCATACCGTGTAGATCTACACGTAGACTCTACCAGTGAGTCGTATCACTACCAGCAAGAGTATAGTTCCTAGTAATTATGATTATAACTTACTTACACTGTATAATAATTATAAGCCCCAGAGGGCTTTATAATGCTCTTGCTATCAGGGTTTCATGTTTGTGTCACGTGATCATCAGACATGACCTGGGTCACCTGACCCAGAAACGGGCATTCGGGCAAGTACTTTTTACTTCACAGAAGCGTAGATCTACGTGTAGATCTACGTCATGTATGTGCTGCTGGCAGTGCTGCATTCTCAGTTCTGTTCGTAGTTCGCGGAAGGTTCGACACTCGACAAGACTCAAGAGTCCATTTTTTGGAGTTGGGTTGAGCGAAGAGCAAAGCTGCGACGATGCTGTTCTTCACGTTGCTGAGCACGTTTTTTCTCTGCTCCGCATCAGCCAAAGGTCCGGCAGACTTCAGTGCAGCAGGCACGGGAGTTGTGGCTGATATCCCGGTGTATCAATGGCTCTCCGAGGGTTACAAAACATTCCGAATTCCAGGCATCGTTCAGACGGCTAACGGCACGCTGATAGCGGCTGTGGAGGGCAGAGTGGCTACCGGGAGGCCAGCAGTAGGCAATGCTAGCCTCTGCTATGGAGTGCTAGCGTCGAAGTTTGACTCCCACTGCGTGGACAAGGACATTGTGGTGAAGACTAGCGATGACTTCGGTGATACTTGGGCGGCGGCCGTACCGCTGACGGAGAGCAATGCGACGCATTTCTACTCGAACCCGAACATGGTGGTCGATAGCGTGACGGACAAAGTCTGGATGGTCTTCTACCAGTGTGTGGTATCCGAGGTCTACGGACACTGCACGCCCATGATGACGTCATCCGGTGATAGTGGCCACTCTTGGGCAGCGGCAAAAGTTGTAGAAGGTGAGCCAGTGGGGGGGGGGGGGGGGGGGGGGGGGAAGAGGCACACAAGCAAACCTCTGCTGGACGGGTACGGCAGGTGACTAGCCGGACTCGTCAAAGACTGTGGCCCTGGAGGCGTAGACAGACAAATGGGACAGTTAATTCTCACAGCTCTCACCAGGAAATCATAGCATTTCAGAGAAAAGACTATTATAAAGATGATACGAGACGATAGCACCCAAAGAATGAATGTGTGTTTCTGTCCTGACATAACATAGACACAGAGCGAACCACCTTGTATGGGAACTTGGGAAGGTTTGCAGCCCAATGAATGACCCTTCATGGACGGTGGTGTCAGACATGATGCGAAACAGTGTGAATTCGGCATGTGGACTGGTTGGGAGCTCAGTTGCTGGTTCGCAGTGCCACTCGCACAAACTTCATTTGGTTCAACCTTACACGTTGCGCACGGTTGTGAGGTCAAGCACGTTGGTTCTTCTGTGCAAATATGTGTGTGTATGTGCACGTGTCTGTGTTTGTATGTGTGTGTGTGCACGTGCATATGTTTGTGTGTGTGTGTGTGGGGGGGGGTATGTGGGCATGTTATTGACTCTACAGCTGTCACAGCACTGCACATCGGAGGCCTAGGCGGTGGTATACAGCTACGCTATCAACAAGGCAGTGCTCAGAATCGACTCATACTGCCGCACGATGGCAATGGCGTGATATACAGTGACGATCGGGGAGAGACTTGGAAGGTTGGGAACAAAGTGGAAGGAGCTGGTGGAGAAAACCAGGTACAGTGTATTGGCTGAGCACTCAGCGGCTGCACATGCTTGTAAGACCATGACTGCGTGTCGTGAAGAAAAGAATGCTGCATGTATGTCAAGCTCAAATTGTGTCGAACTCTGGCAGGTGAATACAGTGTATCCCCAGTCAGGTAACCAGGCGCGTGCCCCGTATGGGTTCCTGGGTGCCCGGAACCCCCCTTTTTTTCGCTCAAAATGCAGGATTTTGCTTCCATTTTTTGAAAATTTTGTTACAACGGTTGCCACATGTACTCGTACATCGTGCATATTGCTAGTGTGTGTGGGGAGGGTGCATTTCATGAAGGGGAACTTTATGCTCTTTCTTCATAGCCGGTACGCGAACCCGTCGAATTTTTTTCTTCATAGCAACTGGGAAATATGACTACTTGTTTTGCCTCTCAAGTCCCTACCTAACTCCACGCCTGCAGCTTGATCGGGGACTGAAGTCTGATTGAGAGAGCGGCTCTGCTGCAATGTGGAGTATGGATACATGATTGACATAATTATTATGCATCACTTGCCACAGGCTGCTGAGCTTCTAGATGGATCGGTGAAGATGACGCTGAGACACGGAGGCTACAGTCCAACGCAATGCACATCTACCGATGGCGGACTGACATTTGCTGATTGTCATGTAAGACCTCTGCAAGAATTTCACATGCCGTTCACGCTGTCTCTACTTGCGGCAATGAAGACGCAAAAATCCATGAAATTTCAGGATCAGCTTCTGGTGAATATAGAGACAAAGCCATAGAGAGGTGCAATCATCGGGTTATGTGACGCTACACTGGCTGGATGGTAGACACTGTCACTGATTGCCTGTCAGTGTGTCTGTGCTTGGGTAGTTGATGTCAATGCTCATTCCCGGTTTGTGCATGTTTCCATGTACACAGCATAAACACACATGCCTTTGTGCTTGTTTTGGTTTTTAGGTTCAAACACAGCTGCTGAGCGATGACTGTCAGACATCGTTACTGGCCGTTCCTCACCCGGCGAACTTCACGCATCACGGTTTGCACGAGACACACACCCGACCATCGTTACACCGGGGTGAGTTCTCCAGGACCATTCTAATATCGGCACACCCCAATGGCCAGAACAGGGTCACACCTCTCGGCCGCCAGAACTGCACGATATCAGTATCTCATGACGACGGTGAAACATGGCATGACACTATCCAGGTCAACCCAGGCCCGTCGGCGTACACAGCACTGGCGTCTATCCGCTACAAAAACAACATGAGAGCCATCGCCTGCCTGTACGAGAGAAGCAAAGACGGGCCACCGGTTGACTTTGACACAGTGGCTATGGCTGTAATCAATGTGGATTCACTCTTCTAAAGCACCGCATGCACGAGTGTCATATAGTAGTATGCTGCATTTTCATACTACTAGATACAGGTGCGGGGATAAATCCGACAAACATTCAATGTCTTGCACAAACAGGATATTTCCGGATTCAATATCTGAAGGGAGTTTTTTTTTATGTAATACAAAATATATCTGGGAGCACTCGCTGATCTAAATCGTGTGATGTTGCAGATTGCATAGAAATCTGCGATGATCTTGAAAGGACTGAGAAGACAATGGAGACTGTACGTGTATACCAGGGAGTTGTAAGGGAGTCGTAAAATGCCCATGCACGGTATTTTACGACTCCCTGGTGTATACGCACCGAAGCGGGGCATCAGATGAGTACCAGCAAGTATTCAGCTGATCATTGGTACATGTATTGCCAAATTAGGCAGCAGCATGCCCAGCTTTGCATACTAGTACACGTATGATTGAAGCATTTGCACAGTTCTGAAAACAGAGACCGAGACTGAGACTGAAAAATTGATGAGCTTCACAAGCTTGCCGCTGTTCGTAAGATAAATGCCTTGCATGAACACTAGGCATGTAGGAAAGCTAGTAACTCGGTGAGAATCCGGGCAGCTGGGATGTCTAGAGACTAGAGGAAAACATGCAGCAGAAATTCCTGATGTCTCTATGTACTGATGATGTACTGTTTACATCAATGCCCATGCACTGTCTGTGGTGAGGTTCTAGCTCAGATAGGGCCTAAAGGGCCTATAGGGCCTATCGGGCCTAAAGGGCCCATTGGAGAGTACACTGTATAGACTGTTGGCAATCCAGGCAACGCATGATGCATTATGGTACTTATACTTCCATACTGGTTACTGACCACCGCTGCCGCCATCGATATCACCAGCACCACCATCACCGTCACAGCCGAGTCTGTGTTACTCAGCTTTCCGGTATGGCTGCAACATTCCGCTCCGCTAGAGCCTCTCTTGGTCTTTTGAGCTGCTTGCTTCATGCTCAGGTTGCACGTGGCATGGGCAATGGCAGATTGGCACCGCAGGGCTGATTGCCTCACCCATGATGTTGTCCAGCCATGTATGGCGACTGGTGAACGACAGCATGTCGGTATTGGCCTGGTTGGGTGGACAGTAAGCTCACTTTCGCCAGTCCAGCACGGAATCGCTCGAGTCTGCCTGCCTGGATAACTGCAATCGATTTTCAGCTATGCATTTTACCTGTTCAGCTTTCCTCTGCATACAGCTGTTCATTCGAAGCACATCTGGGCGGACAGAATCAGCGAATCAGCCACGGTGGTGTAGAGTCAGCCATGACAGTCATGTAGATTGGAATGACGTATTATTGCAGTACCCGCTACGCCTCTCAGGTCACAAAGCTGGAGAAGAACTCAGCACTCAACCACTCTCGGCTGTAGGTGAGCGGCTGTGCGATAGGCAAATCGGTGCACGGATTGTCGCCGATCCACACACGATCCATAGCCATGATATCCTGTGAAGCCATCAGGAGACGCACGCCAGCCGGAGATATCTTGTTGTTGATGAGCGAGGCAAGCCGAAACGGAGCACTGACCTCTTTCACTCTGATCAGCTCCGTCATAGTGTTGTCGGTGAGCTCATTGCTGTCCAGTAGTAGCATTTCTAGTGCCGGGTGGCCCCTGAGTGCCGACAATAGATGCATGGCTACTACATCCGTTACACCAGTGTTGCTCAGTGCCAGACACCGCAGCTCTCGGCATTCCGGCAACGCCGACATCAACGTAGAGTAGTCATCAATGCTAGTGCCCTGACTGCTAAACAGCGGGTTGCTCGCAAGCAGTAGGCACGCAAGTCGCGAGTGTCTCAGCGCGTCGAGCATTGCAGCAGCCCCGCTCAACGTGATCTGATTGTCGTGAAGGCTCAGATAGCGCAGAGTCTCGCTGAAGCGAAGCCCATGCCTAGCCAGCGCCACAGCACCCACGTCGGATATCTTGCTGTTGAACAGATAGAGGGCATCCATGCCGTTGCCGTCTGCTGCAATGTAGCTACCCAGCGATGCCATCGTCTCGTTGGATACACGGCCGTACATATCACCTCCATGCTCGCCTACAATGTCCGTGATCTCACGGCGAAGCACACCACGCTGCCGGACATACTGATCAGCAATGAACACGGCATCATTGCCACACTGACCAGATGCAGCTACAGAGTCCAGCAATAGCTTATTCACGCTGTTACCTGTGAGGTTTAGACAACAGTGCAGCATCACAATCGTATCTTCAACAGCGTCTAACGTTGGAAAGCCTCTCTGCTGCCGGCGAGCGATCAGAAACTGCACAATCTCTGCCGCAATGTCATTGGTGAGTTCATTGTAGGATAGGTCAATGTGCTGTAAATACACATGACCTTTAGTAGCAGCGAGTATACGCTTTGCATCGGCGTTCTCTAGTTTGTTGCAGCTTAGCGTCAGCGAGGCTAGGTTTGGCAAGGACCGTGCAAGGGCTGCAATGTGGCGGCCACAGTCACGTGACAGCGAGCAATCCACGGCACTGAGGGTGGTGACATAGTTACGCACTGGTGTGTTTCTGACTAGGAGCTCGACACCGCCATTGCCCAGGCGATTACCATTCACATAGACGGAGTGAAGCATGGGCAGCCGGAACAGCTTAGCCAGAACAGGTGCATCTCTTTCCACCAGGTATGCATCTCCAAGATCGATAGTGTTCACTCTGCAAACATCACTGCTGGACTGTAGAAGACTTGACGCAATGTCTGACAGCGGCTTGCCACTCAAATCATTCCCTTGCAAGTTAACGTAAGAGCATTTCACGAACAACGGTGCAAGATCTGTGATGTTGTCGACAGATAGGTTGCAGTTGCTGATGTTCAGCACGGAAATCTCACTCAGCAGCTGCAGGAGATTGCACAAGGCAGCCACATCCAGGTCAGTCAGATGCACTCCATGTACATTGAGCTCTCCACAATCATTCAGCAACACCTCTGCAGCTCTTGCAAGACACTCACACTCACATTGCACAGGTAGAGAATGGCGAGAAGAAGACGGTGATGACAGGCTACTCTCTAACAGGCATGTCAACAGGAACAGGTAGAACTGTTGATGTTGAATACCCGTGCTAGCCGGCGATTCCTTCATCATCATCTCAAGAAAAGCTGGTAGGAACTGGTTGTCAATGGAGCCGCAGATGAACCGCCAAAACGGACGTGTCTCCTCACCCACACCGACCTCATGCACACAATGTGATAGAGTCTTGATGACATCACTGGACATACCACACCATCGCGCAGCAAAGAATTCCTGTAATGTAAGATGTAGGAGAGCTAGGCGTTCATTTCTCGGTGAATCCCACGGTACATTCTCATGGCTATCCATTGAGACCAGGAATCCAAGTTGCTTGCAAATTGCAACATCGTGCGATGCCATGTCCGAGGCAGCAATCCATGCACAACCTTGGAGTAGACTATCCAGTGACGCATTGTAGAGATGACATAGAGCTCGGATCAACTCTGCACCATCATTGCATGCAGACGTATGGGTGCTGCCTTGCTCTACATACTGGTCGAGATTGTTTCTAATGACTTCCTGCACAGTGTACTCCTCCAAACTGTCATCACCTACCCCCTCAGCAGTGCACACACCCTTGCTTGCAACATGCTGCTGTGGGAGTTTAACTTTACTGAACTGTTTCTTGTGCTTTTTCTCATACTCTGTGATGGCAGAACACACAAACTGTATGTAGAATGCCGATGTGCACGGTGGAACCGATTCACTAACTGCAAACTGCTGGCAGAGTAGAGCAGCCAGAAGAGGAGTGCTTTGCACTGCTTGTTTGAGATGCTTGCAAGACGGTTGAGATAGCTGAGCTATACACCTCTCACCCATCTCCAACTGTAGTTGCTGACAGCAGAAATCTTTCAGCTGAGTATCAGTGAAACCAGTTAGTCGGTAGTGCACCATGCACTGTGCTACGAGATCTGTTGCTTTCTCACATGGACGACTTGTGATGATCACAGAGGCATTCACAAGTAGATTCTCGTTTGTCTCAGCCATGAAGTGGTGGGCAGCTGATGTGCTGCGGAATGCGGCCTTGCCACCTTCGTCGACGCCATCCAGCAGTATCAGAACACGATCAGAATGTGCTGATAAATATCGCAGAACCTCTTCTCGCTCTGTAGTAGTTAAGTGGAGTGCAGAGTGATCCAATCCTAGGAACTTTGACCAGCAGTCGGTGCTAACACGTTCTGTGTCTCTGCAGGAGATTGGGATGACAAAGTCAAACTGAGATCGAAGTATGTTACTTGTCTTTGTGTTTGCATAATCGGCCATGACACGACGGCAGGCCATAGTCTTGCCTTTCCCTGCTGCCGACATTAACATGCAGCTTTTCAATAACTGGATTGGTTCCCTGGGTGCCGCTACCGCTGTGTCTTTGCTATCCAAGACATTACTCCGACCATTACACTGGGTTTGTTCTAAGTGTGACGTCGGGTCACGTTTCAATAGCAGTTGCACGGGATCACGCAGTTCAAAACTATCAGTGTTAGTGGTATCCATGTTATCAGCAAGAAACACTGACGCTGCACTCCGGCCAGCTTTACGCTTGCCTCTCCGTGCCGCTAGTCGTAATGCCTCACGTTGACTCATAACCATCATTGAGATATACGTGTCACCAGCATTCTCCTTCACTTGGGCCATGTTTGTACGACGAGACTCCACTGCACAAATTTTCTGCAGGTGATTGCGAAATCGTTCAACTGGATCGTCGCCACCACTGCTATCCATATGGTAATGCTGATTGCTGTACCCATGGCCATTCTGCTGTCTGAGTCCACCACCATTCTGCTGTCTGGGGTCACCACCATTCTGTTGACTGACTCTCTGAACCTGATCATGTGCCCAGCATATTGCCTCAGTGTATGTCATGCGACGTTTGGCTAGCTCACACTGACTGGCCTGCTCTGGTGATCCATCTCGACGATATCTGCGAGAACTGATCTCCAGCTGATCAGCAATGCTGTGGTGCTGGAGTATACGCAGGACGTTGCAGAGGATTTTGAAAACATTTCTGTCATCCGCCTGACTATCAGTATGGCTGCTGCTGTCGTGTTCGTGTTCGATCAGTAACCGGAGAAGTTCCGTCAGCTGATCGTACTGTGACAGATGCTGCTTGATGGCTACATACTCTGCAGTTCCTTGGAACACCCAGGCA